ACCGAATGTAATTAATTGGTGGATGATTTCAGATGTAAAAAAGTATGCGTGTCAATGCAAATACTTTTCTACCCTGAAACAGATTTAACAGATTCAGTGTGATATTATAAATATGAGTAGTAGAGGGTTGTTAAAGACTCACCATGTGTTCAGTTCTTTGGCACTTCTCCAGCATCAATCAACAGTATGCTTCCCCCACTGTGACTAATGCTGGAAAACACATGTGACTTCAGATACTATTTACCAAAATGAACACATTGCTGTCAGTATTTTTTCACAATTGAAGCTTTATACCTTTGAATACAGATATTTGTATTTACCTCCCTTTGTCTGAGCATCTATTGTAAAAAAAAAAATACAATCATTCAAAAGACTACAGCAAGTTAAGTGTTTACCTTTCATTCCCGAATAAAAAACATGGATTGTCCACATATTCCAATCGAAGAAACAAAGTAATGATATACAAAATAAATGCTCATGTCCATGTGTGACGATCAAACGACAAAAACAATGAATATTGCTGTTTGATTGCTCTGCAGTGTTTGCTGTGAGTGTTTGGCTCTCCTCCTGCCTTTGGACAGCAGGAAGTCCCACATGTTCAGTCTCAGACTTCGGAGTCACGTGATTGGCCGATGATACCGACCACCTGATCAGCTGAACCTGGTCCAGAGAGGGGAGAGGCTGAGGACAAGACCTGCAGCTCCGTCAATCCAAGACTTTGCTCTGATGCACACTTACAGATACTTTTACAGACTTACTTTTTTTAAAGGATCTATACCAAACAAATATGTTTTAAAAGTCTTTATAAGACCATTTGCAGGCCGGGATATCTCTGCAGGACCACAATAATTGATTTAAAAGTGTTATTTATCACATCATATTTAATATTTATAGCCTTTAACCAATATTGTGCTTGAATATTGCTACTCCATATTGCTTTTTCTGAATAAATGTGATTCATTTTGCAGCCCTAATATTATTGCTATCCTCTTTTCAGACTATTAGGAGGAGAAAAACAAACATAATCCTCATGCTTTCCTCCAGACTCTTCAAAAGTCTGATTCATGAATCAGTTTAAAGACTGTGAAAAGAAAAAGGGCCCTGATTGCACGTTTGAAGGATGGTGATATGGGTGAGGTGTTTTAAATGTATTATTCCTGTCAGTGGGCCTCAGTCTGACCTTAATCGGCAATTACCCTGGTTGGCCGTCACCTGCTGCTCTGCAGTCTGGACAGATTAGACGCTTCTACGACTGCATACATCTGTGCAGGTCTTCTCTCAACAAGTGCCTTTCCCAGAGTAATCCACTTAGACTTGAGTAGGTGATGGTTATGTGGCTGTGTTTATTTATAGTGGGTAGGCACTATAGCATGAACCCTATACTTTACAGAATACTGCCACTTTAAAAGCTGTGCATGAACATTGAGAACATCAAGCAGATTGCATTTCTTCTGCGGAGAGCCAACACTCTGCCAACGCCTCAGACACTTTAATATTATATTGTGTTGTCTTTGTTTTGTATCCACACATTTGATACACCTCATGTTATGTCATAACGTGTTAGGCCTTAACTGTCAGGCATCAGAAGATAAATGAACAACAGTTTCACAGTGAATTGTGTAGGGATCAGATTTCCACAGCAACCAGCTCCATACATTACATTACATGTCACTTGTTAGACGCTTTTATCTAAGCGACTCACATACTCAATACTGTGGGCAATCCCCACAGGAGCAATTTGGGGTGAAGTGTCTTGCCCAGGGACACATCTATAAATATGTAATGCATCTGTTGTATAGAAACAAAGTGGTCAAGATTGAGCATTATAAATAAACTGAAATAAATACGGAATGTTTAATCCTTAAATAAAATAAAAATATTCTACTGAGATTAAGATATCTCTATATCTCTTTTGTTTAATTTAAACAGGATAAAATCATATAGACACGCATACATAATTTAAACACACAGACAAGACATTTTAATTGAAATCTATGTTTAACTCATTTAATTGGTTTACTATTTGCATATGCATTGCAATCATTGCAACTGAAGTTAAGGAAGAAAGCCTTTTGACCTGACATTGCAGTTGCTGTAGTCATGAAGAACAACCTAATATCTTCCCACTATTCAGCACATATCCTGCAGGATCACACTGTCACCAAGAAGACACTTCAATCAGTCATCCACAAGAGAGAGCTGTTGTTGAGAGGGAGAGAGAGAGAGAGGGGGGGGGGAGACAGATGGACAGTATGTCCTGCACTATATGGCATGCAGACTACTATTTACTAAAACAAGAGTAAGTGATTGTACATCAGTGCGCAATTGATTGAACAAAACAAAAAAAACTCATTTCTATTTCTGTGTCTTTCTCACCTCTGTACATCAACATTATTTCAGAAGAGGGACAATTGAATGATGATTTTGATTGAATAAATAAATGGAACAATGTATGAATGAATGTCACTGACGAATGCACCATTTTTGTTTTCTCACAACGGTGTTTTTTACTTAACATTTACAATTACTTTTAATGTTTTGCAACTCAGAGTTCTGTTGTCTTTTCCTTCGTGCAATGCATTGGGAGAAAAACGTGTCAATCACTGGCAAAATAAAAAAAGGAGTATGTTTACATACTGTACTGATTGTACTTGAATGCATTATGAGTACGTGGCATGGATTAAAGACATTGATAGGACGTGTATTATTCAAAAAGAGCTGAAAATACATATCTTTTTAAAAACAAGATAAATTGTTAAAATGTTGTGAAATAATAAGGACAATATGTGACTATATTAATCTCATTTATTATTTAAAAGTGTAATAAGTGAATTCGGCTCAAATTCTGAAGACAAATGAACACAACTACTTGTGTGTTCCTGCTTTGATGTTGTAAATGTGTCAAAACCGAACAGATGCAGCTGAAGTGGACTGAGGACTGAGGACTGAGGACTGAGGACTGAGGACTGAGGACTGAGGACTGAGGACTGAGGACTGAGGACTGAGGCACGTCTCTGCAGCCGGTTGCTCCCCCGCTCTCAGTCCATCTTTGGTTTGTATCTTTAACACCGTACATGGATGAGGGGTGAAAAGTCAGCTCAGATTTCAACCTCCTCGAGGATCATAACACACTTTAAAATATGTTTATTGGTACCTTGTAAACAGCCTTTTAGCCTGTAAACATTTATTTGACACTATTTGTTGTTTTAGCTGTTAGGAACCATATTCCTGGTCCATGCCGTTAAGGGCAGTTTATAAGGTTAGTTAAATAATGTGAGCGTTCAAAGTTAATATCTGACTTATTTATTGTTATTATTGTTTTTTCCTGCAGATGAGAAAACCTGAATCTTATTCTTAAAATATTGTAATAAAAGTGGCAATAACCTGCAGTAATGTAAAAATAGTATGCATCTTAAACATGGTAAATAAAAAAATAGAGCACCCCTATCATTTGACATACATATTTGGGCTGAGACAGCACAGTGAAATAAATAACGTTGAAGGGACTGCATATAAATGTTAACCATGCCACTGGGCGGATCTTATGTTCGGAACAGTATGTTCCTAATATGTTCCTCAGGCTATGAAGCCCAACATGGCTCAACTATATATACATATCATGCATAAATTGACATAGTGACAACCAGCCATATGGTGGGGTTACATTTACAGTATATGTTTACAGAACACTATTTTGAATGGAAGTGTGTCATGTGTTGCTATACTTGAGTCAGTGTAATGCACACAGTAGGTTGAAAATAGGTTTAATTCCCTGCGAGTATTTACTGTTGCTTTTGACTCATCACCTGTCATACCCCTAACTACATCTCATCTTCAACTTGGCTGCACCTTTCTTCAACTTTTGAAAAATCATTACTGAATATATGGATGCATTTGGATTGTCATATGAGGATCCACATGCACCCCGCCGCCCCCCCTGCTGAGATCATGAAACATCCTTATATGATGCAGCCCAAACCTACTGCAGCCTGTATATGCATTACATTACATGACATTACATTGCATTTAGCTGATGCATCCAACTCCAAAGATGAAAAAGGAGAGAAGCTTTTTCCAAAAAGGACATCATGGTGCAACCATTAAAGGAGGGTTGGATGTAATTCAATAAATAAATAATGTAAATCATAAACAATAACAAAGGCAAAAGGCATCTGAGAAAAGTTTCAACATATTGAACAAATAATAACAGCATGAAACAGCTGTGTCAGATGAGCCTCTGAAGCAAAGTGGGAAACTTGAAAATTAACAAAAATCTTTTAATTTTCATGTATTTTTCAAAACACTTTAGGTTTCTACTTAGACTGCTTGTGTTTGAGTAGAAACCAGACAAAAGGTTAGTTAATGCAGAATTGTGTTTAAAGTATGATATGGGGTCAATAAAGGCTGATCATGGCAAGTTACCAATATAATTAAACAAATATTTAAAAATCTATTTGTAAAATAAATTATAAAAATAAAATAAAAACATAAAAAAAAAAGAAACATCTAATGTTGAAACATGCAAAGGACTTTTCCTTGAGATAAAACCAATAGTCACACAAGAACACAATAAACAGAATAGTAGGTTAGTAGAGAGTAGTATATGTATTTTACATTTATGTTTTTTTATTGTGTATGAGTAAAGCACCACAGTCTAAATGACAGGTCCTCCTGTTGCTCCTCATCGTGTTTAAGGTGCTCCAGGTCCATAATAATGTCCCAGGCTCATGTTTAAATATCAGAGGAGAGCTTCGTGATTGGCCAGGCGAACAACACTCACACCTGCGCTATGTGCATCCACTTTGTGTGATTTTATCTGCAAATTGCAAATTGTAAAATATCATTTCGTAAAATAACTACTTCCGTGTAAAAAACGCACGTTCAACTCACTGTCAAAAACTGTAAACCGCCCGTTAAATCTTGCGCACTATATCGAGTGTCCCCCCCGCACATCGTTCTCACAGGAAAGTAGTTCCGGTTAGTGAGGGGGATAAAAACTGTCGCGCGAGCCAAAGAGGGGCGTCTTGGTCCTGTAAAGTTCACCCAGTAGGTGAGTAGCAGCAAGTAGACTAACTATAAGAGAGAGAGGAGAGGATAGCTTATGTTAGTTTTTGAATTAATGTTTAAATCAATTTATAATTTATATTACTGATCAAACTGTTACTTAAACTATCTCCACATCACTTGTTGTGAATATATTTAAAGTTAGTAAGCAGGATCTTTATTAGTATGCATCAATTGCATTTATGTTTTTTAAATTCACGAATAAGCCTAAACTGTATTTGACCTGTAATATGGAGAGAGTGCACTGGTCTGCACATACAGTTCCTTTATGCAAACTGTACAGGGCAATGCCCCACACAGCTGTCTAACTTTGATTTGTTTTTACTTATGTATTTGTTTATTTTATCCATTTATCTGTAACCTGTCCTTTAACTGCAATGTAATTTGTTTCTGGGGCAGATAATTACATATTCTTTAATTAAACTGCATGTTTAAAAACGAATACATCTTCCTAATGAAATAATTAGCAGCTAAAAGTATGAGTGTTTTGTCCGTGATTCAAACATTTCTTCTAACTTTTTGTAAATAATTATCTGTTACAATATGCAATATTTTGTGGTGACATTACTTAATAATAAATACTAGCATGGTGGCTTTGAAATTGTCTTATATGGTTTATATATATACATATAAACCTCGGCTTTTCATCTTGTAGTTTTGAAGTATTTAGTCATTTTTCCTGATATGTTTCGATAGTCCATAATGCTCTCAGCTGCTGTGTTATTTTAGGTGAATGCTGGGGGCAGGAATGGTGTCCCGCCACACACACACACCCACTATGTTCCCATGCCAGCACACATTTGTCATGCATGTTGCGTACCTCTATTACAGCTGACTGTAAGCTGAATCCTGATAACTGCTCCTTTGACCTTTTAATTTGCATTGTTTGGATTCTCAAACAGCATTGCACCTCAGGCAGCACAAATTAGGTTTTGCGACTTCCTTCTGGACTTATTGTTCATGCGTGTGAATCACCTTTAGCCTCTGTCAAGTGACCGGCTCCTCTTCTTCATAAACATAAACTCCCGCTGGAATGTGGCGAGTGCAGTCAGGCAGGCACTGCTGTTGTTGTTACTCTGCACAGGCTGCCGGTCAGCTCACACTGTCACTGTGTAGAGGTCACACTTTCCTACAAGTGTGTACTTTTCCATTTAGTTAATTGATCTAACTGTAGTTTCTGATATCCCATAGTCTTTTCATATGCATATTCTTACAATCATGCAATAATATATCAACTTGATAGCGTTTATTTCAAATCTTTGTTTCAGCAGCCATTGTTTTACCATTAAAATCACACCTTGGTGTAATCACCTATATGATCTTCTGTCTGTAGCCTATGAAAAAACCTCCTGCAAAGCCTATTTGAATACGTGTCAAAGGTCAAGTTGTTAAGTACTAATCAATCATCATACTTGTTTCCTCATCTGTCTCCACAGGGAATTGCAGACACAGATCCAGTCATGTCGAAGACAAAGGATATGGGTTCTTCCGTCATCCACACGCAGCAGATGCACGCTGCGATGGCGGACACCTTCATTGAGCACATGTGCCTTCTGGACATCGACTCTGAGCCTGCTGTGTCTCGCAACACTGGCATCATCTGCACAATCGGTCAGATGAATTGACAAACCCTGTTAATTTGTCTCATGTTACATTCTCTTGGCAACAAACAGAAATAATTTCGTTATATTTTACAAACATCATGTTTAGCCTTGTATTAATTCATCTGTCTCGATGCAGGACCTGCCTCCCGCTCTGTGGACATGTCCAAGGACATGATCAAGGCTGGGATGAACATTGCAAGAATGAACTTCTCTCATGGCACACATGAGGTGAGTCAAAGAGGAGAGAACGATTATTAACTTTTTGCATCTTCAAAACTTCAGCCTGCAGCAACACAAAATCCTAAATGGTGCCATCACTGATTCAAGTGTGCAGGGTTTAAACCCTGAGCAGTACAGCTGTAGTTTCTAGTTTCAGTCATGATTCAAAGTGTACTTGTCCTTTAGAGCTGCAGCCATCACTGTGACATTTCTCCTGTGTCTTGGTAGCTGTCTCTGGCGGTAATGTGATCCATGAGCCAGTACTCGCCCCTTTGGTACCGGGTTGTAGCTTGAGCTTTGGCCAACTCTTTGGCCAACCTTATACTAATCAACCTTCACCTTTAAAAGTCATGCTTCCTTACCTTTTTCCCTGTCACCTGAGTGGATTAGCATTCAAATCTATCCTTAGCTGTAATGGGAACACTTGCAGTTCACATTTTGATCTTCAATGGTTAAATGCAGGGCTTTTTCTCAACTTGCTCAACTCTCAACTCTTGAGGTTTGTCCAGTCTGTGTTTTAGCCAGGCTTGCAGCAATAGTAAAATAATATAAGGGATACATCTGACTCCAGAAAATCAACATTTAGTGGATTGGTTATGAGGAAAGCAAAATAATTCTGACCTTTATCTCAGGTGTCAGCACAGCTACAAATAGTTTTTTCTGTTAGAGTCTGGCAGCAATAGTGTGAGTTAAAGGCATGTAGTGATACCACAGTGGAGTGTTCATTATTGACTGATGACAGCATACAGTAGAATGCATTTACTGTAGACAGACAGGCTACAAGTTATTCATGATTATCCCATGGAGTATTTGGTGATTATTTGTTAATTTAAACACAAGGTTTAACGGCTGCAGCCTAACTATTTTTGGAAACTATTTATGCCAACCTAGACAGTCTGTCAGCAGCTATTTATGTATAGGGAAACGGGTATGTGCAACATATGTGTTCCAGTTGTCATTCAAGATTTTACGGCACATATTCATGTCAACCAGTGCCGTGCTGTCCTTGCGACTGTGTGACCTAGTTTGTCGACCAGTTGTTGTATTCATTTAAAAAATGTCAAACATCTAGAGATAATCTTTCTACAACTTCATAAAACAAGTGTTTATGACTTGTCACAAACACTTGTCGATTCGTTCAGCTTTTTTCATTTTTTTCATAACATTTGTTAAACACTCTATGTCATTCAGTACCATGCTGAGACCATCAAGAATGTCCGTGAGGCAACCGAGAGCTTTGTTCCTGGATCTGCTGACTACAGACCAGTGGCCATCGCTCTGGACACCAAGGGACCAGAAATCAGGACCGGCCTCATCAAGGGCGTGAGTTCTAGTCAAATAACAAAGGCTCCAAAGAGGCCATTTTCGATTTATCGCATATAATCATGAGGTTTCATGCAGCAATTTTCCACTAGAGAATAAACACGCTTTCCTTCCTGCTCTTGTTTAGAGCGGCACTGAGGAGGTTGAGCTCAAGAAGGGAGAAATGATCAAGCTCACCCTGGACAACCAGTTCATGGAGAATTGTGACGAGAAAACTCTGTGGATCGACTACAAGAACATCACCAAAGTTGTGCAGGCTGGATTCCACATCTACATTGATGATGGTCTTATTTCCCTCATGGTTAAGGAAGTTGGTAAGCACACAAACAACCATCTGTTTGGTTCATATTGTTTGTCTTTTATGCAGATTTTGCATTCACCTTTCTGCTTAATGGTGGAAAATAAAATACACTTCACTCTGTGTGTCCTAAGGTGCCGACTTCCTGATGTGCGTCATTGAGAATGGCGGTACTCTTGGAAGCAAGAAGGGCATCAACCTGCCTGGAGCTGCCGTCGACCTGCCTGCTCTGTCTGAGAAGGACCTTCAGGACCTGCAGTTCGGTGTGGAGCAGGGTGTGGACATGGTGTTCGCCTCTTTCATCCGCAAGGCTGCTGATGTTCAAGCCGTCAGGAAAGCTCTTGGTGAGAAGGGCAAGGACATCAAGATCATCAGCAAGCTGGAGAACCACGAGGGTGTGCGCAGGTGGGAAGGATGCAAGCAGTCTCAATATCCCCAATCTGAAACTTTGGAGAACTTTTAAGCTGATTGCTTTTTGTCTGATAGATTCGATGAGATCCTGGAGGCTAGCGATGGCATCATGGTTGCCCGCGGTGACCTGGGCATTGAAATCCCAACAGAGAAAGTCTTCCTTGCCCAGAAGATGATGACTGGCAGGTGCATGAGAGTCGGAAAGCCCATCACCTGTGCCACACAGGTCTGTGACATCAGTAGGACAACTGTTCTTTGGAAATCAAATTAAAAAGAAAAGTGTATCAATGAGTCTTTTTTCTGATCAGATGCTGGAGAGCATGACCAAGAAACCCCGCCCCACTCGCGCTGAGGCCAGCGATGTCGCCAACGCTGTCCTGGACGGCAACGACTGCATCATGCTGAGCGGTGAGACCGCCAAGGGAGAATATCCCCTGGATGCCGTCCGCATGCAGCACAAGGTAAGAGAGCCATTGATTGTTCCTATTTCGTTAGTGTTATATTGTGTGTTAAATAGCAGCATATGTCATAGTATTGTTAAAAGTATAACAGTGTTTCTGCACGTTTTGTTCAATTGTTGTAACTGCACTTGCAGAGTGTTGATCTGTTCATGTGTTTGAGGCTGTTAGAAGGCCTCCATTATCAGTTAAAAGCTCTCTAACACTGTGTGGCATGTGGTACATCACGGTTCATTGGGAAAACTCTGACATCTTGGTGTTGAGAGTAGGCTGCCAAACCATAATGTAGTACAATGACTAAACTACCAAATATACAAGATCAAGCAATATATGATAATGTATAGCTTGTCACTCTTTGACTTTAAATAAACATATTCACACCGTTTGTGAAGACCTGAAATGTTCTTCTTGTATTTAACAGAGACAATATTATATAACAATGATGAATTCTTCTAAAGAGACATTTTGCCCTTGTAATGTCAAATCAGTCTTATTTGCTCAAGGTTCCCCAAATGTGCATGATCAAAGTCATGAAGAAGTAACAATCTAACAACACATTGATAAAAACTGTTAACGAAATGTACTTCTTGCAACAGTAAATGTAAAGAAAGTGAAGATAACATTTTCTTTGTGGTGAGAGTATTATTTTCTAAAAGATGAAGAATTAAGAGACAAGTAGCTTTCAGATTGCGAGCACATCATTGGCACCAGCTTGGATTTGACTAACAGCTTGTTAAGTATTTGTTCAACTTGCTTTGTGTTTCCCTGTTGCACCCCCCCTCCCTCTGTCCATCTGCTTTCTGTGTGTGTTCATATTACTCAATTAGCATGTGTCTGAAGATCTGCAATGCACAGCAACAGTCCCTGGACAACATGGCCGTCGCTGTTGTTTAGCTTCATGTCTCAGTGTGCTTTCAGGTATGAATACCTCTGCACTGTAGTTGAATGCCCCTTTGTTTTGTCCTTTAAAGTACAAACTAACTCCTGCAGCGGAAACCGGCTGTGTGACTGCAGCCTGACAGTTTATTTTCACATGTTCAGATTGCCCGTGAAGCCGAGGCAGCCATGTTCCACAGGCAGATGTTTGAGGAGCTGCGTCGCACCACTCATCTGACCCGTGACCCCACAGAGACCGTCGCCATCGGTGCCGTCGAGGCCTCCTTCAAGTGCTGCGCCAGCGCCATCATCGTGCTCACCAAGTCTGGCAGGTGAGACGCAAAGAAAAAGTCCCTCCTGTAAATCTGCTCTGTAAGGCTCAGACTCATATTCATACACGGCGCTCACTGAGAGCAAAGGAAGAGGTGCATTGTAACATCTCTCCCGCCTCCCTCCCTAACAGAAGCCCTCCGCTCATATGAAGTGTGCCAAATATCACAGCACGCACAATCTGTGCTCCACTTTTGACCTTCTGATATACGAACCCTGACATTCATAAAGCTAATTTTAACTCCCTCAACATTCCTGTCCAAACGGGAGTTCATCCCCCCAACACATGATACAGAAGACGTATTACTGACAGCTGGATGGATTTATTCATTATAAGGGTTTAATGAATCAGCTATAATTAATATTTCCATGACAACAATGGATCACAGGACTAATTTCAGCTTATTGCTTTTAGCAGGCCTGTTCTGCTTCGCTTCTCAGGAGCTAAAAGAGAATTATTGTTGGACAGTAGGAGAGGAAAAATACTATAAGCAAATAATAATGTTAGCTAGTAAGCTACTGGATGTGAAATGCCAACAGTTTTCTAGTTTCAAGTTCACCATATCAACCAAAACCATAAAAATATGTCAATGGTGAAGTTCTTTCTTGTTTCCACTCTCCTTGTGGCCAGAGCAAAATATATTGCAGGTCTAGGTTTTTTCGCACTTCTTATTGGGGTTGAAATGTCTAAATCTGTAGTTATACATTTTGTATTAATTTCTTTTCAGGTCCGCTCAAATGCTGTCGAGGTACAGGCCCCGGGCCCCCATCCTGGCCGTGACCCGCTGTGGCACAACCGCCCGCCAGGCCCACCTGTACCGCGGTATCTACCCCCTGCTCTACACCAAGCCCGCCAACGACGTCTGGGCCGAGGATGTTGACCTGCGTGTGAACTTTGCCCTGGAAGTTGGTGAGTAGTGATGTTTATTTTGCAGTTAGGTAAACGATTAAAAGGGCAGAGCAGGGCTTTATATTTAACCAACTGAATCCTTATTTTTCCATTAATGCTCTTCTTTTCTCTTTCTGTAGGCAAGCACCAGAAGTTCTTCAAGGCCGGTGATGTCGCCATTGTTGTGACTGGCTGGCGCCCAGGTACCGGTTACACCAACACCATGAGAATCGTGCTGGTGCCTTGATACTTCATCAACGGACATTAGTAACCGCTCCCCATCCCCTCTTCTGTAACCTGCCTCCCCCCTGTGTCGGACTTTTCGTTTCTGTTGGTCTTCATCACTAACAGAAATGCAAAACAAGGCCGCTCCAAAAAAAAGGACTGTGTCGATTACAGACATTAACTCCCAGATTCCAGTCATCCTTTTGTGTAATTTATTGTCCAAATCCTGCTGCCGGAGACCCAACTCGAAACCGTTATAATGGAAACTCTTCTGTCAAGCGTGTGCCTGCATGTTGTGGAGTGGAAATAAGCGTTCCTCTGCATGCACTGTAAAGTAGGCTAAACTTTTAGTAATTTCCTTGGTTTTTCATTCTTTAATTATCCAAGGTTATGTACTGCTATTGTCTTCTCCAGTGTATCATGTTTGTTGGTAACAAGTGCCATTGTGATCAGGCATAACCAGGTTCCTTTCCATTAAAATGAATTCTTGGGTCAACTGTGTTTGTTTTCCTCTCATAATAGGTCTCACACCAAACTGAGACAAATGTTCCAGTGATAAAGATTGTTCTTTTTCTAAGGTGGGCTATTTTATGCCTTAAACATTAGATGGCGCCAGTGGGGAGATGACAGGAATCACGGGACGGATACTAAAACGGGGGAAATTATTTCAGAGGAATAAAAAGGAGGAATACAATGTAGAAAAATTCTCTATTGTAGGCTAGTCCGTGAACATTAGCATAAAGAAATACCTAAAGGACAAGTCAGTGCTATATGGACTGTATTTTTAAATAAGCATCACTTGCAATGGTGAAGCTAGTAAATTGGGTTTTCTACTTTCTTTTATAAATCATAATTCATTATTTGTTGATTATATTTAGTATAATAAATCTCAATCTGCAAATGACCAGTAATTAACAGTATCAACTATTTGTAGTGAGGTTAATGTACAATATGTCCCTCTGAAGTAGTGAAGTAGAAGTATAAAGAATCTGAAAATGAATATACTAAATTAAAGTAACTCAAAATGTGCACACTAACTGCGTACTTAAGATATATATTAATGCAATCTTTAACAAAATGACGTCATCTTGTGAAGTTTTAACAGGACATTTAACAGTGGGTCTGTCTTTTTCTTGAATGTCATAAAAAAAACATTTGTCTGGATCTAATTTTAATAAAACCTCCAGAAGAATGGGGTCAAATCTATATTTAATCACTAATCCAGCATTTACCAACTTGATGAACATGGCAGATACTTTTCCTTGTTCTGGCAGATTACAATCCGGGTTATTTTGACTGTTAGCACTGAACAACACCGTGCAGTTCTCCATTTATAATCCGGCTTAAAGTCTGAAACTTCCCCAGTGTTCCTCAGATTCTCCTCACATCCCACGCTCTGCTCTTGAAAAATAAATCAACAGCTAGGACGAGCATCGTTGACCATATGGTATTTTATTGCATTGAATTCAGTAACTAAAATAAAATATATACCTAACATACATAGGTGGTGGAATCCTCAGATTTGTTGGTTAAAAGGCAGCGAAATGAGAAATAAATATATAAATAGATGAATGACTGACACCTTCTTTCCTACACACACCTTTAGGTCGGTTGCAACCCTACACTTAGGTGGTGTGGGCGTGGAGGAGAATAGTGATGAGGGATTGATCGAGCCCATTGGCAGTGAGTGGTTAGTGACCGATAGTATCTCTTCTCCCTCGAGGAATGGGGGGGTCAGAGTCACTGCAAACCTCAGGGTCAGTAACCAGGCAGCTGAAGCCACTCGACACGATCCTCTGATGCTTTGACCTGCTCACAGCTCCACACAGAGAAAGAGAACGTATCATCTAAACACATGAAATTATTAACAAGTAGAAGGATTCAAGAGTCCGGTTTTTAAAAAAGCAGTCAGTGATACACGTCTTGTTGATGCAGCATAGCATCACAGAGCAGCAATTGTTCAACAACAAAGCTTACAATCAATTAAAAGTAAAATGAAAGCGGTAAATATGCAGCAATATGACCCATCAGGGTTTCTTGTCAACCACGTGTCCAAGTAACTGCTTTTTAGCCCTTTGACTGGTGCAAGAAACACTCGGATCAGTCTTAGTGCATTGCTGGTTTCAGGATGTTTGATTATCCACAATTGCTTTGATTCCATGTAATTCCCTTTTTTAATCTGTTTTCATACTAAAAACAGAACATCACTCAAGTGCTTCGATTCACAGTACCTTTGTATACCCATAGAAAAACACAGATTATTGCATACTATGCTGATGACACTCAAACAACTGTTCTGTACTGAAGTTATTGTCTGGCAGGAATGAGTTGGCATCAGTGTATTTGGAAATTGTCTAAAACGGGTGACACTTTCCAGGACTGTACAGAAAAACCACATTCAAAAATGTGAACCGCTTCTTGCACTCAGACAGACAAACATTACATTACATTCATTACTTCAGTTTTTGAGAGTGTGATCTGATTGGTTTATGACCCATTTTGGGTGTGCAATATTGCTGAAACGCTATCTTGGAAGACATGCTGTTATCACGTTAGGTGATCTCTGAAACGAGCAAAGTGCACAGTCTGTCTCTCCTCGAACCTCTTGGAAACCTTGCATTCACACGACACACTCGTTGGTGGGAAAGACATAAAAAAGGACAATCATTTTTGGTTTCAACCATAACAGGATAAAGTTTTGGACAAATTTCCAACTAAACAGGTGTCGCTAAAAGGTAACACAAAATGTTCTGGACAGTGGGGTAAAAACTAAATACTTAAAACACAGAGTGTGGTTATTATACAATACATATAACAATTGATATTTTCATGGGCTGCTATATATACCTATCAATAGGTTTTGTATTTTATTACTATATTCAAAGATGCAATATCCTGTAGAAAAAATACCCATCATTGTCCATAATTGTCCATTCAGTCTGATTAAAAATGTAACCACCGCCCTCCAATTTGATAAGAATAACACACCCTCCTTCTTTAAAGTAGTGGCTAAATCAATGCCTTAAGGAGGTGACCTTCATTGTGTCCGGGCATTAAAGGAGGGTGTGTCCGAACCTCACAAGTTGGATGGAAGTGTGGACTGTTTGTGTTCGGTCTCCATCATTTTAGCAGGGGATCTAGCATGGGGAGAAAGAACAGCAGGAGGCTGGATCTGAGGTTCGGGCCCTGAATGTGTCCGAATGACAGGAGCAGCTTGACCCGGGATCAGGCTGTATGGTTTACTGACAGCCATGGGGGAGGAGAAGGGGCTGGAGACCCCCACCACCCCCTCTGGGGAGCAGCTCATGGCCAAAGGCCTTTCCTGGTATGTGGAGCTGTGAGAGCCTGAGATAGTCTTTATTTCCTGGGTGTAGAGTTCCCCCGAGAACTCGACCCCGTCTGTGATGGTGTAGGCCACCCGGGCAGGACAGGAGGTCTGAGGGGTCAGAGGGCTGCGAGCCCCCACAGCGCTGGGGAGCTCAATGTTGTAAAATGTCCGTCCCATGGCGGGGCTCTGTATGCTGGGGCTGTGGACCGGAGGCGTGTAGCAGGGCGAGACTTCACCAGAGCCGTACTGAGCCAGGGAGGCCAGGGCCGAATGCTCGGGGAGAAACTGGGGGAGGAAAACAGACTGCAGGCCTGCGAGGCTCTGATGCGCCAGGGAGGCTGCGGCCCCCCCTCCGACTGCTGACACTGGATGCATAAATCCAGCGAAGGACTGAGTGCTGGGGATGAAAGGGAGATGCGAGAGGTACGGACCGCTGGACGTCCTGAACGCTCTGTCGTGAACGAACCCCATCTGCTGCGCCGTGCCGTGTGAGGGCGGCTGCAGCTGGCTGATTAATGGGCCCACTGAGCTGCAGATGAGGGGGCTTATGGTGGAGGCAGAGGGGGCTGCGAACCTCCCTGAAAACCTCCCTGGTGCCCCCTGCTGGAGTAAACCTATGGGGTGTGGTGAGGTGGTCATGACCCCGTGGAAGGGTTGAGGGTGGAGCTGTGCAGAGCAGGTGTAGGAGACGGTGGTCTGGCTCATGGGGAACACTGAGGCTATGCCAGAATGGGGAGGATGGAGCGGGAGCTGGTGTGAGGGCGGAGGGGCCAGAGGCTGCAGGCTGCTGGTGAAGATGGGCTGGGACGTCAGGGTGGGGGTCACGGACCCCGCGATGAGGTGCTGCGGCCTGAGGGACGCCAGCAGGGGAGTCTCAATCCCAGATCTGTAATTGATGGAGCTGGAAGGAGAACCAGGGACATAGCTACTGGACGTGTTGGCTCCGATGTGGACTATCTTCTGATGGAAGGACGGGTCCTTCAGGGGAGCGGGGGTCAGAGGATGGTGGAAGAGGATGGGGGGCAGCTGGGAGTGGTGGGCCAAGGCCAGGGCCAGAGGGGTGGTGGTGGCAGCAGCCTGGAGCGGGGCCTGGATCAGCGGGGCCCAGATGACCGGGGTGGGTGAGGGGGGGGGCGGACAGAGGGTGTAGGCTCTGTGAGCTGCCCTGGATCAGCTGTGTGCACTGGGCCATGTCGCGGTCGTGCTGCACGATTCTTTGGATGATCTCCGTCTCCTGGAAGTTTAGTGCGCCAGCAGATTGGTGATGCTGGACTTTACTCTGAAGAATAGAGTTCCTTTTACCTGTTTAGAAAATATAAATGATGTCATGCAATTTGTATTTCATGGATAAGCACACATTTAAGCCTACTTCTGTTGGATGATATTTTGTCCCAGAAATAATTACGATAAACTGCGTTACTGTATTTTCAAGCACAATTTGGGACATATCTATATATCAGCAACCATCTTACATGGATGTTCAGTTCGTATGTCAACATTAAAGAACAATGTAGCTGAAACTGTAAAGAAAGTGTGATCCATCCTTAGTACAGAGGATTCATCTGTCGTCTAAAATAATGCCATTTTCAGATAATCAGAATCGGCCAATTATTAATTAATTATAGAATTATGTAACACCAGGCCACTATGATTGTTTTTTAAATATTAATATTTGTAGAAACTTGTCAGTTTTATTTTGCTGCTTTAATAAAGCACTTTGTAATGTAGATGTTAAAAAAGAGCTAGATAAATAAAGATTATTATTATTAATAAATGTTGGATCCTGTTTTTTAATTGAAGACCCTACATCACATGTTCTGTCAGAAGATGCCAGCGCCATCACTGCAGCTTTGTGCAACCCAAATCAAATGTATAGAAAAAATGTATTATTGTTAAAACTACATAAGCGTTACAAATAATATAAAGTGAAATATCAACATTTAATATAAAATATTTAAATGTATAACATTAAATTGGCTCCTATACACAGCTTTTCTCTCTTGACTCACCGATGCGGTCCAGGCGGTCGAGGGCCACGGTCTCGAAGGCCCTCCTCATCATGGGGTACTCCTCCAGCACCTCGTCGAAGTTGTCCACCGACAGAGAGTACAGCCGGCAGTAGTTATTTGCTCGCACGCTGGCCGTCCTCCGACCTCGGGTCAGCAGGCAGATCTCTGCAGGGAGGGGGGGAAAGAAGATTAATTCATTGTACAATTTCACTCACATTCAAATGCATGTCAGAAATAAAGATCAACAATTTAATAATACATATCAATGTTGTATGATAATATCCTTATACAAGTTGTGTGAAACATTCAAAACAAATGAATATTATTTAGATCAAAAAAAGGAAAGGCCCGATTTGTATTATTAGTGTGAGATGATAAAACATGAAAGGACTGATGTCTCTGAACCCCACAGATGGAGCACTTAATGCAATTTCTGCAGCTTACAGTTTGTCCTGACCTTATCTGTCGTGCCAGATCAGAAAAATAAAATAATGCGCCATTTAAAAAAAAAAAAAAAGTAGACATATTATTCAGGACGGACATATTGAGGATATAGACACAAACACACTCACACACACAGGCTCACACGCTCTCTCTCTTAAACACATTTCCTGCACTCTTTCATTTATTATTTTCACATCTGTCCGTGTTCAGCTCTGTGGAGTAGCTTCAAGCCGAAATAAAAAATGTTATGTCATACAATTATTGTTTTAAAATGTATTCTGGGATAAACATTTAATCACAATTTCTTAGAAATAATTGTCAGATTACACTGCATTCAATCCCAATAAGATTGCGGTAGAGTGACTTACACATTCATATTTCCAAGACGTCCTATCAAGGGCCTTCATAAATTAGATATTCAGGATTTCAGTTTTAAATATGGCGGAAACAAAAGGGGAAACCCCCACCGATGGAATCAAAGATCCTAAAGCTCTGCTCCTCTTAGAGCCCTTTTAAGGAGATGATGTGGACCATTTTTACCAGCTGTAATAGTCAGAGAACTTAATCTGCTGAGTGCCAGAGCCAAATAAATCAAAACAAATCATACTATCAGCGCTCACATACATTTGAACGGACTCAGTGCCAGCTGCAGAACATATCAGCATGCAGTCCACAGAGTGTGCAGACATTACCTCCAAAATAGGAGCCGTCGGACAGCTTGGTGTCTGAGGGCTGGACCCCGCAGATGGTGCTGCTCTTGGTGAGGACGCTGACCACGCCGTGCTGGATGAAGTACATCTTCTTTCCGATGGTTCCCTCTCTGATGATGTAGTCGCTCGGCTGGAAGACCTCAAAGTGCAGCTTTGTCAACATGGAGGTGACAAAATTAGGATCAGCGTTGGCAAACAGAGGCATGGAGGCCACCAGTTTACGACAGTTGAAGTTGATAATCTCCTGCAGAAGACAACAAATAAAGATTTCAGCTTTCATAACACAACTGTCATTGTGACTACACGTGTACGTTTCAATCATTATAAAAGCAGAGCAGTTTACGGCTTAGTGCTCCGTTAATGTGGTTCTCTGTCCTCATAAAAGGCTCCGGCCATTACTAATCAGATTACATGACTGCTAACATTATCGTGCTAAGTAAGGGAGCCATATTAGGTTGCATAAATAATTAACTGTAAACCGTTTAGAGCAAGGATGCTCACTTCATCAATTCACTTAATTGCAGTTGAGAAAACCTTTAAAAAATAACTGAAGAAATTAAAAAATTAAAAGGAGAAATGGCTCTTCTATTTAATAGACATTGTAGCATTGTAGAAACATTTAATAAACGGACAATATTGTAGTTGTAAGCAAGTATAAGGATATATATTTTTAATCATATACAGTACCATTACAACTATTTTTTCTTATCTGTTAAAAGACTAGCCTACTCTTAATGCTGCACACAGGAGTTTTATTTGTTAAGAAAAACATTCATGAATACTTTTATCTGCTGATATCTACACTAATGTGTGTTATAAACAATTCATTTATATACATATATTGCTTATAATTTGTCACGTATTTTTATTTTAGTTGTGAAACTTGTTAACGCCAACATTATGATGACTCAGCTTAGCATGATGGGATATACTTTATGAACATTTTTTGTCATAATTATCTTGGCCTTAAAATTGCACTAAAACATACTGGAATCATCCAGTAACTGCATCATTTTACTTCCAATTTTATAAAGACAAATATAATTAATTAATGAATAAATCAAAATAGCAGCATTGTGTGAGTTTGTTCTTTTTTACAGTTTAATTCATGTATGTTTTGAATAAGAAATTATCATTTCTTTCTCCGCCATGATGGAGAGCTACATCTTTTTTAAGACCCTTCTGAGGATATTCATGATTATCCCAATATTAGGGATTCCTTTTTTTTAGATCAACAAAATAATCCCTTATTGTTCCCCCTTCATAGACTCAGCAGTCTTTTCATCAAGACAACCACCAGGCAGAGGATTCTGACCTCTCTTAGTGGCTCGTTCAGCTCCTCCATGATGCTCTCCTCGTCAAACATCTTGCCCTGGTATCGGTGTTCGTAATACTCGTGGATCCTCTGGCGCATGTCGGCAGGGAGCTTGTGGAAGGACATGTACTGCTCCACTTGCTTATACTGCAAAAACAAGTTGGATTATCACAGTTATTGAAATATAATAAGTGTATATTCAAAGTATTTAAGTGAACAACCCTCCCAGAAATACACGTAACTGTAATGTAGGTGCAAGAAAAAACGTTAAGTCATGTCAAAATGAGGGTATTAGAGTGATTGATGTGTTGGCTCAGAGGAGGAGAATAATGTGTCTAATTATGTTAACAGTCAACTGTCAGGCCATCTGTGAAACCTGCCCACAGAGCGATGCTGTGCCCCTGTCCCATCTGACAAATACAGTGGTGCTCTGCAGGCTGCAGCTAATAACATTAACTGCTGTGTCCTTCAGCCGTGTTCTCCAGCAGCAAAGCACTAGTCTGTGTCCTGCTGTAAGTCCTTGCTTTTATCAACCAGCTCTTTAACTCCCTCCCTATATTTCCCCTTTATCTCTGTTAAGAATCCATAACGGCAGCTCAGAAATTCTTCCCTAAACACTCTCATATGTGCTCTATCCCTTCTCATTTATTTGCAATCTCCCTCTGCGGGGCATTTCTCACTTAAATGTCTAAAGATGCAGAACAAGTGTTCACACAAATGACATCCTCATCACATTAGTTTTTTCATCAGTCTGGAATAAGTATTGAGACGCTTTACAAGCTGCACGTACATTTACACGTAGAGTTACTTGAGTTAAAATCCTGCATTCAAAATGTGGCTCAAGGCAAAGTAAAAAAGTACTAAACTAATTATACTATAAGAAGTACAGAACATGGGCATGGTACATGGGCATTTTTTATGCAGAAAAAATGCCCATGTGACTGTTGTAATGTATACAATTGTACTATTAGTACTCATTTGATAATGTGTACTAATAGTACACAATGTACTGTACTGTACAGCAATGTACTGATGCAGGAGCCAATTTCCACAAATGTGTACTGGTAAGTAGTTTAATCTGATTATCAGATTATATAAATGTATCATATGTTCTGTATAAAAAATGCAATCTCAAAAGTGAGGTAAGCTATTTGAAAAATGTACTACATTACTAAATACTCCTGAAAAGTAAGTACCTCAAAGTACTTGAGTTTGGTATTTCTGTAAATATCCTTCCACTACTTAATTTGACCGTTGTAGACCTGAAGAAAGTAGATTGGATCAGCCATGCAGAGAACAAACACCCACCTTCTCCTGGTACTGCCTCCGTGAGGAGTCCAGGGACTGGATGAGGGCAGTGGCGTGGCCCACGAACATGGCGAAGCAGGTCGCGCCCACGATCATGCTGAGGATGGTGAGCCACACATCAGCCATGCCGATGGGGGGGTACAGGCCGTACCCGATGCACAGCATGTGACTCATGGCCTTGAACAGGGCGTAGGAGTACTGCTGACCCCAGGTGTCATTCTGTAGGAGACAAAGAGGAGGAAAGTTTATCACCTCAACATAAACGCTGCAGCACAACTTTGTGAACCGATCCACAGTTTAGGATGAAGACCAGCGGTGATGACTAATTTCTTTTCCAGGTTTGTTGGCGGTGAAGCCTGCTGAGGGGCTAAGAAAATATCACCTTGTAATATGCATGCTGATTTATCCACCTGCACACCTGCCCTGGATTATTCTCTGATGTCTACTTCAGTTATCAGTATATCTATTATTATATTCTGTACTCAGAGGGAATATTAATATAGTTTATGTCTAAATACTTGAAACCATGAATAATTATGGCTGCAACAGAAGATTATTTTCAAAATAGTTTATTCTCCCCATTTTAACTCTAGTATTAATTTGTTGGGTCTAAGTGTCAGACAATTCTGAAAAATGTTTCTTTTAATATCTTATTTAATTTGACATTACAAAATCCAAAGATATTTGGTTTACTAGCATATAAGACAACGAAAATATTCAAATATGTACTTTTGAGAGCCTTAAACCAAGGACTGTTTGGCAAATTTCATTAAGCAATAATAATTAATATTTATACAACTGTTGCCACTTAATTTGTTGTCTATCAGTTGATCGAACTGTGGCAGCCTAAATATGATTGTGTGGTTTTAAAGCCAATAAAAATGGGGCTTTAATGGTTAAGCATTTCTATATAATATCAAATATCCATGACTAAATTGGAAAGTTAAAATGAAATTTGGGGGAATTTTAATGTTCAAAACCTCAGTTATTCTGCTTCATCATCACAAACTGGGTGATGAACTGATTTGATTGCCACTGACCAAATAACCACAACAACTGTCCTCCAAAAGATTTAAATCTTGCTAAATCCTGATCGGTGCATGGAAATATCTGAGATCATATTTTTTCAGCTGAAACACACCGACTTGCTATCAGGAAAAAGACCACGGTAAAAGTAAAAAATATTTTAAATGATCAACTAAAACTGTTCTAACTTTGTCAGAAGAGCCTGTGTTCATGCAGGAGCCCATCAGTCATAATGCACCTACCACCATCTTGTTCCTGGTGACCCAGCAGTCGTGGGGGAAGTCCTGCAGCATGGGGACCAGGAACTGCAGACAGCCGTCCCAGTGGCACAGCAGCAGCATCATACCAATCAGGTTCATGATGCGCACCATGGCACTAGCCAGGTCATAGGTCATATGGAAAACCTGTTACAGAGATTATCAGCATTAATATAACTAAAACTGTGAAACAGATAAATCTATGACATTTCAATTCTCTCATCATGCAATCAGAGGATTTAAAATATACAATAGGTGCTTTGTGAGCCAATGGACACGGGGGTCCTTTACCAGGCCGCACTGTTCTTAATCTTCTATATTTCACATGAGGCTGTTTGCCTGTTGCGTAATCATCTGCAAGCAACATTAATGGGCTCTGGGGAATGCAGCCTCAGTTGGAATTATAAAAATAAGATAATGCAGGGAAATACATGTTATTACGTCATTCGATTGTGTGTGAGCCTTAGAGGGGAACCAACAAATGTACTCTAGAGCATTAAGAATTTGTACATTTGTTTTTAAAATACGCAGTATCATGATTTTCCCTGACAGAAAAAAAATGTGGTAATCCAGACAAAGTTACAAGTTAGCAGAAATCTGCTAATGCGAGGGGATCTCCCCGTGAAAAGCACTTCTGTCAGGGGAACATTTGAGATTAAAGCTGCAAATAATGATTACTTTCATAAATGATTATCTGTTTGTTCTGTGAAATCTCAGAAATGGCCATCACTTGTTCTTTGAACGTGAGCAGAGTGTCTTTAAATTACTTGTTTTGATATTCAATTAAATATTGTAATAAACATAACATATTCACAATTTCAAATGATGGAAATGGAGGATTTCTGTCTTTTGTTTTTGAAATGAGAAAAATTATGAATACAATTGCAGCTGATTAATTTTCTCTTGAGTAATTGGCAAGTAACTGACAAATTGTTGCAGCTTTATTAGTTAATGTGAAGTCGAGTCGTGTCTGCAGGATCTACCTCTTCCCACTGGTGGATGTAGCGGATGAGTCTGGAGAGGCGCAGCAGCCGCAGCAGACTGAGGATCTTCGTGAAGCGGACGATCCTCAGGGCTCGGGCCGTCTTGTAAAAGTCTGAGTCAATGCGCGTCTCCACGATGAGAAAGATGTAGTCCACGGGTATGGAGGAGATGAAGTCCACCACGAACCAGGTCTTCAGGTACTTGATCTTGATCTTCTGCGGGTCCAGGATGATCTCCGTGTTGTCCTCCTTCACGATACCTGTGCGGAAGTTGAGGACCAGGTCCATGAGGAAGAAGGTGTCCGAGACCACGTTGAAGACGATCCAGGGCGGCGTGTGCTCGTCCTTGAAGAAGGTGATGCCCACAGGGATGATGATGAGGTTTCCCACCATCAGCAGCAGCATGGTCAGATCCCAGTAAAACCTGAAACACACCAACACACATAACTCATGTTGTAGATAACAGCGGGCCAGAGTCTTTTAGGTATTTAGATGAATCGTCAGGAACTACAAATGTATCTTTAACATGGTATACATAACTGAGATGATTGTTTGATTTGAAGATAAATAAGTGATTTTGTCTTTGTTTTTTAGAGGGGCTTTTTATTCCTTTATGAGTTATTAGGGCAACATTTGCTGGTTCCAATTTAATATATTTAATAGTAAACTTAATATTGTTGCTCTAACATTGGTCTCTGGGATTTTTCACACTTTTTGTGTATTTTACCGACAACAAAATCAATCTGAGGTAAGAATCAATAATGGATTAAAAATGAAAATAATTGCAGTGCATTTAAGAGTACTTATTGTTATATTTTTGTTGAATATTGTTAATTTGTTTGCACGGTTTTATTTAGAAAGATTTAGAGACAGGACAAACTTAAAAGCAAGTTTAACAATGGTTGCTGTTCAGTTTACACAGGAGACTTTAAGCCAGAGTGTTTGTGTCTATGTGCATACTGAATATATGCTTCATAATATTCAGATATATTCTGGACATGTAGGAACTTCAAAAATAAATGAATCCCTGTGCAATTTGCAGTCTCACACTGTAACTGCAAATCCAGTAAATCTGTGTTCAAAGGCTAATACATAATTAAAACAAACAGATTGAGCATAAACATTACCAAAGCAAGAAATTAGTTTACTTTAGAAAACAAACTAATTATCTTCAAAAAGTGGGCTTCTGTCTACAGGGATGGAGAGGAAAATGGTTTATTGAAACTCATCTGAATTGCTTATGAGGAAATATAGATTTTTCACAACTAACTTAATCCTCAAGTATCAGCAGCAGAGTGATAGACTCAATTTATAATTGCATTGAAAAGGCAATTTGAGTTTCAAAGTTTGCAAAACATTTTCATAAAAATTCATAGCTTAATTAAAAAATCTGGCAAGTTGCAGCCAACAGCTAAATATAAAATGGTCATGTATCTGACCCAAAAGCAGTTTTTTTAATAACTCTGTTTACTATATTGACATTTACATTGTCAGTGGGTTTTTCCCCCTGATTTTACAGACCTGTATGGATATCAGAATACCCTACAATCACAGGAAACACACAGCAATGAAGAGCTCTAACACATAACAACCAGCCAAGATGTATTCCCCAATTTCCATCTTCAGTGTGTATGAGATGAGAAAGCATGCATGCATGTGATTGCATGTCGGATCCATTTCAGAGACCTAATTAACCACTGATCGATCCAACAGGAGCCTGACACACCTGCAGGGCCAGCAGAATGCTGTGTTGGGGGGGCAGACCTGCGAGGGCGCATGCATTACACCACTTAAGGTTACTTAAGTGACATGTGAGGCAGCATGCAGTAACCACAATGTATGAGCCAAACACTCAAGAGAAGGGAGAGTAAATGTAGAGGGAATGCTTTCAAAAGCGCTTATTTGACAAATGCCTCTATATCTTGTCATCAGGTATAGTTCAAACCTTCAGTCACTGATTGACCAAGATAGAAGTCTTTTATTAAAAGTAGACATGATGTGATATGTCTTTGGATTTTGCAAGTAGGCAGCTAAACTTCCTTCCTTCCATTTGACATTTTCTGAGCTCAAATGATGGTCAAGGAAAGAGGCAACTAACAGTGGGAATGTGACCCACGTGATTTACCTATGCTAGTTGCTCACACCCAACCTTCACAGGAGAACATCATGTAAATAGGGAACCAGTAAAGGACAGGGTGTCCATTCTAATCAGCTTTCTGTTGTTCCCTGCCAAACAAAGCATTTGCATTGCTCTCTTCATCTGCCTGTTTGTCTCTGCGCTGACACACTGGTCCTAATTGCACTTCCCCTCTCTCGCTAAATCCACCATTCTCCTGGGAATCCATGTCATCTCCAGAAGTCAGCTCCCATCAGCCAGATGTTGAGTAGTTAGCATTACTGCTCTGCACACGTCACCGTGCTGTAGAACCCTGGAACAGCTGGACCAAAAAAAAACTGGTCTACAGGGGACAGTGCATTACTGCCCCTGCAGACCATCCAGTTTGATCATCAGCTGACCATGCACGCAGCATTCAGGGCCACACAGATCAGACAACTTGCTGTTGTAATCTGGTGCTACCATCAGCATAAAGCTGACAGTTGTGGGGTCTCTGAAACTCTCCCGGTCCAGAAAGGAATCTTGTGCTATTTGGGTCAGAGGGCAACTGCGTTAAAAATCATGACAGCACAAAGAGAGCGGAGTTACAAGCAAAGTGAACACAAAAAGGCTTAAAATGGTGAAAGGAGCTTAGATCAATCAGGACAGCTGAAAAAGGGATCACATTTGTACTAGAGATACTTATCTCTTGCTGCCAGAGCGCAGCTGAAGCACAACAGCCTGCATGCAGCTCAGTGGCTTAACACACACCTGTACTGTGGCTCAGGCCCACCAGCAATCATATTAAACATATTTACGAAACCGTGCCAGTTCAGTATGTCTGCTGCTGTAACCACGGCAGCTTTAATAAAAAAACAGCAGTTATGTATGCTCTAACCAACACACACACTGTGTTTATAAAAGATACATAAAGGGGATACATACTATGCTGTGCTGAAGAACAGTGGTTGTGGAAACATACAGGATTTGAAGTGAGTGAGTTTGACAGTTTTAGGATTGGATTCAACGGTTTCTCGTAAACGAAAAGACCCGGAAAATCATTAAGATTTACACCTGTAAATTAGGATGGGATGTGCAGGATAAAGTGTACACTTCAAGAGCCCAGAGTGTGATCCAAACCCAGTATAAAGTAATGACACCTTGTACCTCATACACAGAGTTAACAGCTGGGCGTCCTGATTCCTCACAACATCATTTTCATTTCAATCTCTCCGTCCCTCTCTGTGTTTTCTCTGTTTTGTGGTGTGTCCCCTCCCTGACCACACCATCTCTGCTCCATTAGACTAATTGTACTGTAATAATCTCTACTGATGTGTGCTTCTAATATCTCGAATGGTCATGTTACCCTATTTTGATTACCCCTTTTCCAAGCCCTTGCTGCACTCTCTGTAATCCATTGCCCTGGCTGAATGATAAAAAAAAGTGTAATTCAGATGAGTGGAAAAAAACTGCTCTGACACACATCGACATACAACTGGCCGCTGAAAGTATATGACAGTGAGCCTCAAGGTTAAATGTCATGAAAATCCCTTGATGGCGGTGATGAACAGAATGCTGGTTTGCATGCATTGTGCAATGAAATGTAGAGCGCGCATGAATGCAGGGAAAAACGTAGGTGGTAAATCAGGGAGTAACAGGTTGGCTTACACAGGGAAAAAAGGTGGATAAAAGGTTAGTTAGAATACAATATGATATATTCTTGTGTAAACAAAGCCATATACACAACACTTCTCTATGCCAAACAAAAAAGGGATTTAATATCTTATATGTATGATATAATGTGGCTGTCATTGTGCTTCTAAGAGGATTTTGTATGCCTGTCAATTCATCCAAGATGGATCAAATGGTTGCCTGTAAAAATGGCCTGTACAGTCTGAGTGTTAAGAAAGGATCATTTTCAGAAATGAAGCCATTTATCTTTTCAATGTGTAAGGATTACAGCGGCACATTCAGTTTTAATGCCTCTATTCTGCTCACACTCCTGATTATCATGTTATCATAACATCATCACAGTGATTAAAGAAAAAACACTTGGCATATGGGGGATTAGTGTGTCTATTAAGTTTACAGTGACTTTGACGGCATTTTAAATCAAGATTATGCTATTCTAATATGATGTTTACATTTGTATGCCAAACAACTGTGTGACAGGATCACTGCTGCACTTTTTTGTAAAGACACCACTGTTTTGAAAGAACAGAAGAAAGGTTTTCTGCACACAAATTACCTAAAATCACTGTACGGGTGGATTATCCAGAAACCAGCAGACTTCACTCGCTCCCTCTCGTGCTCCACGGCCCTCTCACTCCCCAACATCCGCAGGGAAAACTTGTTGACTCCTGGTTGGAGCATCGCCCCAAACTGCCGGTGCATGAAGCCGGTTTGGTACAGCCGGTCATCCTCAGGTATGATTTGATCGGTTCCTTCTAACTTGATGAAACTTGACTGTTCAAACGTTGATTCTTGCCCGGCCGTGGCACTCAGACCCCCCGCTGCCCGCTGCTGGGCCCCGGGGCTCAGCTCACCGGGGAAACTCTCGCTGGCTCCCGGGATGAGGCGCCGCTGCTCCGCGGGATCTGACCCGGGAGGATGCCGCCCGGTGATGGAGGAGATGCTGCCCCGGAATAAGCGACAGTCCCCGTTCAAGTTAGTCTTCACAGTAACGTCCCTTCCCAAGTCTTCGCTCCTGGCCTCCTCAATGCTCTTGCAACTGCTTGCAGGAGACGGGGAGGGCAAATGTTTTAGCCGAATACTTTTCCTCATAGTGTCCTTGTCGCCGTTGTCTCCTTCGTCAATCACGAAGGGTTTTTGCCCAATGTTTTGCGGAAGGCTGTACAACCGTTTGCGCATGTTTGACTGAAATCTTTCCATTTTGAACAAGAAGAGGAGCTGCGCTCAAGGATAGCCCGTGAAAACAGAGAAATTAATCATGAATCTCATTCACTTGGGGTGCCACTGGAGGCAAAACAGTGACGGCGCATCTGCAGGACAGGTTGTATCTCATTTGACACTTGGGACGTGTCTCTCTCCCCCGGTTCAAACATTGAGATGCGTCAACAATACCTGGTTCCCTTCAATCCGACGGTCATGCAAAAGCGGTGAACGGGAAATGCGTGTAAATCCAGGTAACCCCACAGCGTGCAGATGAGCGCGCATCAGGATGCAGCATGCTGAGCGTCGGACGTGCCACAGTGCTGAGCTGCTCAATGACAAAGCATGATCTCCACCTCCCCAAAATATCTGAGCTCTGTGTCAGTGCAAGGTGGTGACACGCATGCACACATGCACGCAGCTAGCACCGGCATCCAAACAGCGCTGACCCATGATCCATCAGCGCTTTCTATAACGTGAATATCGATGGAGCTAATCCATCAGGATGGCACTGGTGCTCACCCCGCCCAGCCAGGACAGTTGAGAGCAGGACTCCAGGATCCAGCCTGGGAGTTTAAAGCTTGTTCAATAGTTGAGAGAAAACCATGGGAGGTCAAAGGAATAAAGTCAAGTCTTTATGCATGGTCAGAAATGTTTGTCCATGTTTGCCCTGCACACGGAATAAATCGTGTGTCATTTCTGCCAGCCAAATGAACTGAGCCGTTTTAGATATATACCTGTATAATGGATTAAATCATACATAATGGATTATAAGAGTTGTTTTCTGCTTTTGAGACACGTGGGCATGTAATAACCACTGTTATGATGATATAAATACATTAAGAGGTATGTAAGTAAAACAAAGTGGTTTTAAAAGCAACATCTCACAACTGCCAAAGGAAAATATCTGAGTTGACACACAGAATGTATGTGGTTCGTTGGTCTAGGGGTATGATTCTCGCTTAGGGTGCGAGAGGTCCCGGGTTCAAATCCCGGACGAGCCCTCTACCGTTTAGTTAGAAGTTGTAGTGTGTGTTCAACGTAATGCGCTTTAGGCCAGAAACTATCCATACAATAATGTAAGTGGAGTGCCTTTGGACGCTAATAATGTGATAATGGTGGAATTCCTTTCAACCTTGAGATTGAGGTGGTGTTTGGCTATAAAAGCATTTATACTCTGTGTTTGCTGCAGTTTTACTCCTTGAAGACATTTTTAATCATACAAAAATGTATGAGATTTTCTGATTTGCTTTCTGAAAGCAAAGTCCAAAATGGGAAATTAATCTGGTAAAAGGTTTTTGAAAGCACATTTATGAATATAGGAAGATAAAATAAAGATCAAAATATTAAATTATATACTTTAATATAAGATTTCAAGACTACTTTCCCATCATTTTTTTTCACATCAGTGGTTTCATAACATGGGGTGTAAATGGCAGGAATGGATATTTCTTTATCATCAAAGTGCATGTTACTGTCTGCAGGCTGTACTGTTTTCTTCCTCTTCTTTCCAGTTATCATTCAACAAAACCAACCTCAAGTATGCCTCGGCCTCAGCACTGTAAGATTGCAGTCTCCTGATCTCAAACTTCCCATATTAGAAGTTCACACTTGATGCTGTATTTAGTAGACTGCATTCATCACCTTCCATAATGTTTGCAGGCACGATTATCACCACGTGGGGGAGGTCATCTCAATATCACATGGCTGATTTGCACTCAGCAGCCAGTTTATGTACTGCTAACTAAAAGCAATGCAGTGAAACACAATTCCCACGTTCCGTTTTTGTTTAAATAGTTTTGAAGAGGTGTTTTGAGTCATTTTGGAGGGTGTATTTTGTATTGCGTTTGAACCGAATCAGACTGGGCTCTGGTTTTAGACAGAGGGGGAAAAGAGGAGCTGCATCACAGGCAGTATGAGAAAAGACCTTCATGAAATTAAAGCATGGAGACATGTCAGTAGAGGCACAAAATACAGATAAGAAACCTGAAAATGAGCATATTAGGGCCCCTTTGACACACACATTCGCTAAATATTTACATACAATTCAAATGGGAAAACAAACACCGTACTGTAGTGAGTCGCTGCGCCTGGTTGGTGAACCAGTCCTCACAATGTTGTGTAGCAGGTCGCAAAGATGTGATCCGTCAACATCAGATTATTGGCCTCCAGTGCACACTGAGATACATGTTGTGCCCAACACATTATGAACAGAGAGAAAAATGTGGGGGAACCCATATCATATAGAAAATGGAATTCAAAGCAGATTATTTTTTGTGTTGTAATGTTTTATGATCTAAATCGTGTCTAGAGGGATGATTTTTGAAGTTTCTCAGAGAACGCAAGTAGTATAGCAAGTCTAAAAGAAAGGCTACTGTGTGAATTAAAAAGAAAACAATAAACAAAGCCACCAAACTTTAAATCTACCAATGTTTAGGAACAAATCCGTAAGACTTTTTTTACCTAACATCTCTTTACTTGAATGATACGTTAACCCACACAGACAGAACTACAAATCAGTTTTTGTCAAAGGTTTTGCTTCCGTGTTTTCTTTTCATGGTTCAGAAATTCACAGATGTCCCTCTGCAGATGTACAATTCTTTATATTACTGTCTGATCCCACTGACATAATAATCCAGGACACGGTTACATCCTGGGAATCAGGTCAAGACAATTAAAATACTTTTGAAACACATAACAATGTTTACTCTCCAGCTGGTAATATAAAATCTGCAGAAAGCTTAACAATCAGCCCTGTGACCTACCAGGCAGCAGCCATGATCCACCAGCGCCCCCCTCTGCTGGGCTGCTGCACTTCACACTAAATGTGTTGAACATCATGCCCACAACAATTCATGACAAACACAGGAGAAAAAAACACTCAAGTTCTCATAATGTTAGGTAGGATTAGGAATGACTTAAACTATAGCCAGATGCAAGTCATTTCTTTCCGACCACACCTATGATTTGATTTAGGAGGGTACTAGACATTCTTTGCACCTCTTAATGCACACAATGCTATTCACAAATGCCATAAGCATACTTTTATACAGGTCAAAGGTATGATTTATGCCAGGACCTTTACATTTGGAAGCATATCTCAAAATGTACTCATTAACTGTTTTATATGCAGTGTTTGAGACTTTGTAAAGCCATCAAATATCAACACTGCAGACAATCAGTAAGTCCCAATATGTTAGTACCAAGATTTAAACACATATTCTGAATTGCCTATAAAAATGAACCATTTAGCCGTCAATAAATTGGGCTCCATATGAAGAAAAGAACGGACTGATTATAGGCAGAGATGTTCCTCTTCTCTCCCTAATCCTCATCAGATAGACAACTTCAGGTGCTCGTTTAGGCATATTTTCCATAATTATCATCTAATCTAGAGTTTACATCAAAACCACAGGAAAGGAAATGTGGTAGGCAGACCAACAAAGCTTATGTGCTTTAAAATAGTGTTACTTTTGAATTTATTTGGCTGGTTTCACAGCATTTTGTCTTTTGATAAATCCAAAAAAATAACAGTAAATGAGCCCGTTCCAAAGTCTGTTTTCATCTTTTGATCTTTGTCATGCTGCCTAAAATACAACTGAAAAAGAAGAATAAACCGACATATGAAGTATGTATTGTTGACAGAATTTTCAAGTCTTTAACCATGTTTTGCATTAGACAGGTTTGGGATTTTTGTGCAACAAGTGAGCATTTCTTAATCAATGTTTGTTTGTCCTTGTTTCTGATATTGATGACACATGATTGCTCAGTCATTTAAAACCCCACACGATGGTGCTGTTCTCAACATGCTTTAATATTTCTGCATCTCTATAGGACAGCCTGTGCGAATCATTACTACTTTTGCACTGAAAAATGTCCATTATATATACATTTAATGGACAATGAAGTATTTTGAATCTGAATCTAAATGTGTTTTTAAAAGAAAGTGATTCAACAGACACACTTTGTTTTTTGAGATATTTATTCTTAAAAATGAGTTGGGGACCTTGGGATTTTTCACGTGTCGGTGCTGACGCATGTTTCTTTCTCCGCCTCCTCCCACGTCAGCTGTAAAGTATTCATGCTGCTGTGCGGTTTGCCTTCAGCGCTCTAAGGTGATCCTACTAGTTTAAAGCTTTGTCACAGAGAAATCAAAAGCTGCAATGATTTTTCAACACATATTGATATGGATAATAATGGCATAGGATAATAGCCATGCTTTACACATAATTATAAAACAATGTTAGGATGATTAGTACAGATTTCCTAAAGGTTGTTTATACAGTTTTTCATTATCCTCAATATTTAAGTGCATCATATAATTTGTCTTTATATATTAAATGGTATTTTGATACATAGTTATAGTGATTTAATACATACAGTACATACAGTAAAGTAACTCTTAATAACATTTAGAGGGACATTGCGAAGCCCTTAAAATGCAATAGATATCTTCAGGTAAAACGGTATGCAGTGGAATGATAAAACTGTACACAACTGTCATACCAGAATATGGTGGCATTTTCTTTTACATTGCCAAGTTTTGTTTTCCTCTACAACACACAGTACAGATCATCTAAATAAAGCCACTCTCAGAGAAAAAAGCAAAACAAAAAGCCATTTCTGTATCAAACAGAAGGTCAACATCTTGCATGCATTATTTTTAGAAGTATTACAAATGTAAAATTAGTGGATAGGAGGGGGAAACAAATCATAAACGTCAACAACCGCATGCAGCAACAATGTTATATTGTTAACAATTCAATTTTCGCATCCTCACACAATAAAATCATAAGGCATGCCTCATTGAACTCTCCATACTTGTAATGGCAGATACATTTGATTAACAACTGGTATGGATACCCTTCTTGTTTACTTTCATATGGTCAATACATTTGTGAAATGAAACCTGCAAATAAAGAGAAAATAAAGCGATTAGCCCAGTCTGCCCGTGGTTAACAAGAGCCTTCATTGATACAATCATACGGTGGATCATCTTGTAACTTGTGACCACAGGCTTGTAATACATATTAACCACTAGGCTTTTAATAATTTAATACTTACTCGGCAGACAGGCTGCTCAGTTTGTATTCCTCTGGCGGAGATTCTTGTCTTTGTGGTTGTTGGTCGAATTAGTTTTCCTGTAGCAGAAAGCAAACAAATAAATCAGTCGGTGAAAACTCAGATCAAACGTGTTTACTAAAACATTCAGGGAAATTAATGATTTGGAAAAAATGTATGCACATTAAATTAATATAAATACAAAATGTCATCTTTTTGGGCTCTGCCAATTTATGATAGACAATTTGCATTGTTTATGGCTTCTCAGATTAAATACTTACAACTAATACTATACTAAAACTAATTAGAAAAACAACCAGTTGATTAAAGGGTCACCACTTATTTTACACACAATTATTCAGTTGTATGTCTTCTGTGGCTCTCAAGAGAGCTTTTTTTAGTGTGAGAAAGTAATCGGTAAAATGACCCTTTAATCAATAATGAAAACAACACTCACAGCAGAGTACACTGTATGCTTGTCCTTACTCTAGTGCAGGGGGGTCAAACTCAAATACACAGTGGGCCAAAATAAAAAAATCGGTACTAGTCGAGGGCCGGACTGGTTCAATGTTTATTGTAAAACTTATTGAAATGAACTTATTGCACATATTAAACCTGGAACTAACAAAGCTTAAATGATTGCCTATAAAAACAACATTAAACATTAAATAATCAGTTGCATTCATTTCTTATGGCTCTATCTGCAGCTTTTCCGGAGTCATTTCTTATGATTACATTTTTCCACAGGCCAACAACAGGTCAAAAAAACAATTTCCCTCAAAGAAAAAAACAAACATGCCCTGTTGTCGCAAGAAAAAAAGTGCAAAAGGAAACATCCATTGAAACTCAGTTTGCTGCTGTGATGCTAGTTCAAGCCAGATACTTGGCATCTCATCTTGGGTGCAAGTTCATCAATGATTGGGCTCAGGCTCTGAGCTGAGGAAATCCTCAGGATTGAGTGAAGGTGTGCGTGCAATATACCGGCGGGCCAGATCTAACAGTAATTACAAATTATCCTGCGGGCCGAAATTAAATCCACCAAGGGCCTGATTTGGCCTCCTGGCCTTGAGTTTGACACATGTGCTCTAGTGCAGTGGTTCTCAACTGGTGGGTCGCGACCCAAAAGTGGGTGGCGGACCCGTTTCGAGTGGGTTGCAGATGTGTGAGTGAAGAAAAGAAAAAAAAAAAAAAAAAAGGTCAAACTTTTATTTTGAAGGCCCGATTTTCTAACGCTTTGCATGCAGTAGGCGTTGGACTGGAATATTATTAAAATGTTGGGTAGTAATAGATTTATTTATTTTCTTCTCAGAGTGTACCAGAATGCGTAGTTTAAATGTTAGTATTTCTAAAAATCTCCTGGGGGATTATCCCCCCAGACCCCTCTTCTGGGGTTGGGTTTTCAGCACGTCTGCCTTTTTATGTTATACAGTTCAGCTTTGATTCCATCATCTCATTAAACCTTTTTTAAAAGCATACTTTTGTTCTGTGAAGGGATATAAGGAATATATGCACTGTACTTCACTTTATTTAATAATGTATGCTGAAAAGCGTATATATTACGGCACAATTTGTTGTTGAATAGATTTGAGTGGTTCAACATTTCGGGTCGCGATCTATTGACTAAGGAAAAAGTGGGTCCCGAGGCCTGACCAGTTGAGAACCACTGCTCTAGTGTGTACTAAACAGCTAATATCATGAACACAAACTCTACTTTTCACTGAGTCTACCAGACCTATCTCAAGTTACATATTTAAACAATTCTTAACACTATTTTAATTCTTTAATAGTACCTCTTTACATTAACTACCCCCACTTATAAGAAAACATTTATTAAATGGTTTAAAACACACTCTAATGTAGTTGTAAGCAGCCATAATGACATTTCTAAATGATTGTTAATCTAAAGTATTTCTAAAGAAACTCTATAAAGATTTATTACAACTGTGTTGTTTTTATTTTCATTATGTTCAATTCATACACCACCCCATTGTTTACAGGGGAGGAGTTAAAGCTGTTTATTAATAAAGTATTTACCACCCATAACTGCTTACAACGGCATTGCATGTTTAAAATGTTCACACACTGCTTCCGACTGAAAACAGGGGCCTTTTTTACTCTAGAGCATCATGCAGGGCTTTCCTAATGAGGATTATTCTCATGCTAATTTGTTCTTATCAACAGAAAAAACATGTCCCTACCTGACTCGTTTTATTTTCCTGTGATTTATATACGTATAGGCAGCTTAGCAACCGTTTCATGATGCTCTAAGTTTGGCTGTGTACTGTAAAGGAAGTCTACTCTGGATGCATCATAATAGCTACAATAAAACACCAAGCTAAACAGATACATGTATTGAAGGTAAAATGTTTATACTCACACTGGACCTGCATGGTCATCATCTGAAGCAACAAGGGAAGATATGGAGAAATGAGAACCATCAAATAAAAATAATCGCAAAGTAGTTGCACACATTGATGAAGAGACATTTTTTGGTTTTTACAAAAATCATAAAGCATTAAAAACAGCAGCTGTTAATGACACACTCTAAGATGTTCATGTTTCAACTATAATGCATGTGCAGACTGTTATGGTCACTCACAAACAGACTGAATGCATTTAAATCCACAACACCACATTAAAACAATTATAACGTAAAAAGTAAAACAATACTGTTGTCATGCAGACAGGCAGAGCTCACAGAGAACAGCTGTTCACTCGGAGAGATAAGTGAGGAGCAGATCCATTAATATCAGCCCTCTACTGAGGGCAATAAAGTCATGGAAGCTGCCTAAAACAATATTCATATTTTCAATTATGTACACTGGTTTGCATGCCATTTCAGTGCTGCAGTTTGAAGCAAAAGTTAAGTTACCACTTACAATAAAATCTTTGAAAATTAAGATTTGCACAGCACTCAATGTTGATGCTCAACAGAACGGTGAACTGTGCTGTGAGCTGGGAAAAGATGAGGCTGAATGCTTATTAGGGCTGCACGATATATCGTGTCGTGACGTCCTGCGATGTCAATCGCGTTATGCATGCGCATAACGCGATTGACATCGCAGGACGTGCGATTTAAAAATATATATTAAGTAGGCAAATGAACTCAAACACGTCATGTTACAATTATTTTGCTGCTTGCTACAAAAGGAAAACTCGCGCGGCTCTCATGTCAGGGGTACTTGAGTGAGTGACATGCAGGCTCTGCATTCACAGCAAACCACCAATCACAATCATTCTTGATCAGATCACAGCAGGTTAACCGAGCTAGCTCAGCTTGTTGCTCTGATAACTTAAGATCCAGAAGTCCGTGACTAAAATCCTTCATCCGGTTAAATATTGTTAAAAAAATATATCAATTGTATAGCATTAAAATTCAAGAAAGGATGGTTTGCGGACAAAAAAAACGGTATTTTCAAATATTCCAGTATTTTTTCATATCGCAATATATATCGCAGGGGAAGAAAATATCGCAATGTCAGTTTTTTCCAATATCGTGCAGCCCTAATGCTTATTGATATTCATAAAGCATGCAAACTCTCACACTTACCACAAACAGGATTTAGGTTTTGCAATTTGGGGAGGATGGGAAATATTTCAACAATCTGTTAAAAAAAAGTCAACAGCCACAGCTTACCTGTATAAAATATGGAGTTAAGGATTTCAAGCAAGAATTTGCTTCGTGATTCACACGATCTCGTCTATTTTGTGCAGATTCTCAAGATGATTAAAACATCATGTAATGAACCATAATGATAAAATGTTCCTGCACAGCACCACTGACTGACTGTTAAAGCTTTGAGCTGGACGGTGCATCTAATTAATGTCAACATTTGAATTTGAGACAAAAAGCCACCCAAATAACAATATTGCATTATTTATGATATAGTCGGACTATTGTAAATTATGTACTCGGTACAATTTGAAGATTCCCCACTGGCATTGGTAGATGATATACCTAAATGAAGTGACTCGTGGTGAAGCTTGCAGCAGCTTGGGGGCAGCCCAAGGTCCCTGGAAAGCTGTTAATAATTGAAACTGTCCGCAACACTGCAGTATCATATTTCTCATGAATATTAAATACATGAAATTGTCCTGACAAGGTGCGACCTCTTCTAACATTGTCTGCCTGTCGGGTCAGCCTCGGCAAACTAAATTATTGAATGCAGGCAGAGCACAGTGTCAGGTGAAGAAGTTGGAGTCTCTGGCAAAGGGATAACTTCAGCACCAGACACCGAAACACAGTGTGCCTCCTTTCCTAGGCACGTCATTAGCGATGCATTAAGGCTTTGCAAAAAAACTCACAGGAGAGAGATTGATGTCAACGATGGACAATATAACCAGTTTCTCCTCAGATATATTAAAAACAGTGGAATTATAAAACACCTTGGCACCACCATGGGTGACTCACCGTCTTGTAAATCATCGGGCTTCTTGCGCTTCTCATAAACGACGATGATGACGATCAGGATGATGATCTCGGCCAAAACCCCCAGGAGAGGCCATAAGGGGGCCAGGTTGCTGCGGACCCTCAGCACGATCTTCTCGTCGCGGGTGCCCAGCATGTTGGTGGCGTTGCAGTGATACTCGCCCGGATCCAAGTCAATGTCCAGGTTGGCGATGTGGAGCTCGGTGTAGTTGTCTCTGCTGCTGATGGTGAAGCGCCCGCTTGAGTTGTCAATTTCCTGTCAAAGGAGAAGAAATAAATACTTAATAATGTTTAGAGTGTTTTTTTATTTTATTTTTTTACATGCTTTTATATTCTAGTAAAGTCCAGGTTTTGAAACGATTTCACAACATTGAATTATATACTGTATTACAGCTCCATGTTATAAAAGTGCCACTTCCTTTAACTTTAATGTAACTATTATTATCTTGTTTTAATTTATAGTATTCTATTTAATTTAAATCTCTCTACTTTTTTGCCTTGATTTTATTTTATCCAATATAAAAAAAGGCATCAACTTTTAATATATTTGTTAATATGAAAAAATGATGTACAATACATGATTTTCTATTTGATGTAATCTTCTTGCCATAAATAAATCACTTTGTGAATTTTGTATTGCCTGAATATTTACAGTAACTCATAAGTACAGTTTTGCAAAGAATCCTTGAAACAAGCAGATATTAATGCATTTGTAGAAAATGTTAGCTTAAGCTAAAGTAGATTAGATAAGCAGGTTTAACATTTTAACCTCAGTGTCCCTTATGCTTGGGTTGCTAGCAGAGGATTTATTCTAATGCAGGATTGTGTAGACACAGAAACACTAGAATTACATGCTACAAAAAACAATTACATACAGTACCAACCAATCGCTACCCTTTGAACAATTACATAGTATCATTATGTGTTCCTTTCATCTAATGCATTACAGTACAACACTTCAATTATAAACTCAGTTAAATGACAGTGTCAAAATAAACTGAACATTATAACCTTCTATCGGACTGTCATTGTAAACAGGTGTTTAGGAAGAGTTTATGTATACCACATACCCTGGGAAAGCCATTGTCGAATTTGCGCCAGTTCCAGATAGGATAAGGATATCCGGTAGACTTACAGTAGAGCACAGCGACCTGGCCCTCGTTCTTATTCTCACTACGCTTGTGGCCTATAATGTCAGGAGCAGCTAAAACAAGAATAGCAAAAGAAACATAGATTAATTGTTACAATGTGGGTGCAGGGATCCAGTCCATTTCCTACTTCCTTTTTCAAAGTAGAGACTGAATACAGTAAGTTATTTTAATTGCCTCAGTTTTTTTTAAATACTCGTAACCTAAATAATGCCTATGGAAAACTGCCAAATGTTTTATGCAATATTCAAGCAAGAGACAAAGCACTTCAGAGAGAGATAACACAAATTGTATTTGGCATTTAAAAAAGCTGCAGGAGGGAAACTTTGCAGCAAACAGTATTGCTGCATTCCATTCAAGTGATCCATTGCAACATAATTGTATTCGGAGAAATCCTAATATTTGTCATCAGCCTGGCTTGTTCATCATTTTTCTTCCCACAGGAAAATAAATTCTCTGTAAAATAAAGGAAAACAAAAAAATCCAATTTGCCTCTATAACGATGCGTGTGACAGCAGAAAAGGCTGACCAGATTTTAACGTTGGGACATAATCCCTCACCATCGGACAAACAAGACACCATCTGCTGCCACTGAGCCGGGCCCTGGTTAGATGGAGGTGTCAAGGGCGCCTGCTGCCCTGCGAGCAGCCAGCAGGGTCGTTTGAAATCACAGGTCCTCACATGACCGAGCTGCTGGGGCTCAAGGCCATCCGGGCCATTTTTTTAATGGTGACACCTCTAATGCTGGCCTTGAAACTGACAAAAACGCCTGCAGATCACAAATCAACACCTACATTTTACTTCTATGGTGGCGTTTGCTGGAGGAGCCGTCTCGAAGGTGTAGACACACATGTACACTCCTGCGGCGTCTCCTCTCGGCTTCTTCAGGCTGCAGATCAGAAACACAGCTCACATGAACCCTGCTTATATCTGTTTAACACTCTGACACACAACAATAGTATACCGTTTTCCCTTACAAATATTCAGTGTTCCTATTGGGGCTGCGTGTTTCTGCGATCTCCTCCCCGTTCTTCATCCAGTAGCTCTCCTGGTGGACGCTGTGAGCGCTGGTCAGGTTACACTGCAGCAGGTAAGAGTCGCCTTCCACAGGAAGTGAGGTGTGATCAGAGGAGGCGATCGACGGCTCTGTAGGAAAGACAAGGGTCAGCTACGACAGAAGGGAAGCTTGATGGAACTCGTGGGTGAGGGTGTGTTGGAGGATATAAACAACAACGCAGAAAGACACACAGCTAAAGACACTTTACCCACACATTCACAACATAGCACAGGAATAGAGTTGTGAAGTAGGAGGAATTATTTCAGGCATACAGAGTTCCTTAAGCAGAGTTTAATGCATCGTTAGGTGACTGAGAAGTGGGAGCTCTTCCAAGGCCCACGGTTGAATCATCAGTACAAAGATGTCCAACTGCATTTGAAAATATATTTTCCTTGATAAAAAATGTAAGTGTTCGAGTCTGTCTGCATAGAAACGTAAGTAATGAAGCAAACTACAGCTCCCAAGGTGCATTTCTGTTAAAAGAATCCCAAAACAAACTTAAATTATTGTTAAATATGCCACTAACCATAAGCAACAATAAGCAAGAAGTAAAGCGCTTCTTCTACAGTCTGCAGCTCTACCACAACATATTGACCTTTTATGAGTAGTACCCATGTTGGGGAACATGGTTCAAGGTGAATTTAACTCTCTTATCTTAAATGAAGAGATTAAGTACCTTTGAAGGAATACGATATAAATTACATAATGACCAATAACATAAGTCCACACTAACATAAGTTTGCATCTGATTGAAATTCAACCTGTGGAAAATAGTTGCTCAGATAACCTTTAAACTGCGTTGCATGCTGCTTAACGTGATGATCTACATCACGTTAAGCATGTTTGCACGTATAGGCCCCTGGTGAGTAATCACAACACTTGTATATACAATACAGCTTGGCATGGTTTTGATGTAAATGTTGTCTCTACCTAAACACAATACAGTATCTAAGCTGTAAAACTACTGCCCAGATACATTGATCTAAAATGTTGCAAATATTTTTACTAGAATTCTGCAATAAACTGATCATAGAATAAGCAAATCTGATAGGAATATAGGACCGGACATTTGGACAAATCAGATTGAGACTATTAAAATAATAGTCAGAAAAGGAAACTGAAAATAATGTATACAGTCCAGGGAAATGAGAAGATGAGAGCTATAGGGAGAGAAAAACGAAGAAGAGAGAAAATGGAGACGGAGGAGATGTGGCTGCAGGTTAAAGGATCTACTGTCACCGAGGGATGAGCACGATGTAAAACACTACTCCTCAGGTAAGAGCACATATAGACTAGTTGGTGGTGTTTTCTTAGTTTTCCAAGTCTGTAGGGGAGGATGGCACCTATGGAGGCAGCTAGAGGTCTGAGGGAGGCTATAGCGAGGGGTGGGAGCGGGGGTTTCCTCTACAGTGACCACTCACTCTGCAGCACCGTTATAGAGGCCTGCGCACGGATCCAGGTGGTGGCTGGATTTTGGTGCAGGTCATTACGGCGCGGGTCATTGCTGGCTCTGCACTCATAGGTCCCAACATCGTCCACCGTGAGACGCGAGACCCCCAACAAGCTCACGGCGTTGGAGCCGTAGGCCGTGTTGATGGAGACTCGCCGCTTACGGGCGCCGTCCCAAAGCTGCCTGAAGGAATCGGCCCGGTTGATCTCAGAGTACCACCACTGGATTTCGGGGGTGGGGTTTCCCACCACGTCACAGTACAGCTCAAAGGCGTCGCCCGTGAGCTTAGTCTCAGAAAAAGGTGATCTCACAAAGCCCGCTGGTGGTGGAGGGGCAGCATGGACAGAAAAAGGGGAACAGGTGGATGATGGAGAGCAAGAAAATAACAGGGTAAATTAAAGTGGAGGCAGAAAAGAAACGAAAAAACTGAAAAAAAGATAATGTGAAATAATAAGAAAGACACTGATAGATTATCTTAAAATGGAAGAAAGGTTGATGAATAAAAAAGAAATATAAAATGTAGAAAATAATAGAGGTGCAGCTACCTAATCTGTCACGCATCGATTGTTGTTGTCCAAGTATGTTCAATTCAAATATATTTTCATTTATGAATATATTTACCATCATTTAAGGCTAAGAGATTAGGAGAATTAAAAGAGAGTCAGAGGAGAGAGAGAGAGAGAGAGAGAGAGAGAGAGAGAGAGAGAGAGAGAGAGAGAGATTATTGCGCCTATTTCAAGGAAGATTTCATTTTATTCTGCTGGGACGTCTTTGTGAGGCTGCTCTCACTTGATTTGTCCAATTAATGCCATCATATTGATTTGTTCCAGACTCAAGCAGCGCTCACACCCGAAAGTCCTCCAAGTGACCTTGTCCTTTTTAGTAAATCTGGTCTGTTTAATCAAAACATAATTCAAGGGGATTTTCAATCATGGGACACAGACGCCGGGCTGACTGTATACTGTTCATTTTACTGGATTGATATGATGTCTCGGTATTTGCACGGAAAGCAATAAAAGTGCAACAATTGATCATGGCTGCACAGATTGGAGCAGGAGGAGGAGGCGGGGGGAGGGGGGGGGGTGTAATCATAAGCATGGTCTACGGCACCGTGGAGAGCACATTGAGAGGAGATTTATAGAAACTGCGGCTCTGGGTCTCACGGGAGCGTGTGGGCGCATGGTGATAGACCCCCTCGGTTTCCATAGAAGCACTCTACGGCAACAAAGCAGGAAGAGGAAGAGACGGCCAACCAGACCAAGGACATCACAAGACAGACAGACATGTTGTTTTTCCTCCAGCTGACATCATAACCCTGCTGTACAGCCCACGAGAGCAGCACAGTTGCTGTAGGCACAAATGGATACCCATAAACAATTATTTTTTGGGGGGGAGGGGCTGAATAACAATGTATGTAAAGTAAAGATTCATCAGGTAGCATCGATAGATTTAAATGAAAAAATGTATGTCTTAACAAAAGATATATTGTCAAGGCCAAATACATTCAAATGGAGCACAGTTATGCCACTATATCTATGCTATAGTAACGTTATCATGGCATCAGAGGTTTCTTGTTGACCATCTGAGAAAAGTAATATTCAAACCAAGAGGACAACAGGTTGAATGGGTTATGCGAATTAGGCGAAGTTCAAATTAATCACATTTTCCTCTGTGTCCTTATTATTATCATTAGTTCAGAATAAATATATAACATTTAATTTTTGTTTTAAATCCAGATTTTTTTTGTTTTGCTGACAATGACTGACGTACATTTTAAATGCTTTTTATACGATATTACGTTGGTTCCATGTTTTCTGGTCGTTTTTTTCCAAAAAAGAATGGTGTTCAGGCTGGGCAAGTTATTAATGCATGACTCAATATTAATAAAAATGTATCAAAAATGGACTCGGCTGTTGGTTTGTTAGGTACTCCTAGCTAAAAACGAGTGCAGTCTAGCAATAAGTCCTACATTCACGAAGGTTATAATGTTGAAATGAATTGCATTACAGTGATAGGTGTTTCGGTTTCTTAATTACACTGCCGTTATAGAAATACATGGGGTTAACAACATAAGAAAAGCACCTGAAGAGATTTAACAACACCACAAACTGCGGCTTCAAAAATAAACATACAGTTGAATCAATAACTCTCCAACAGTTTCAAAATGTTCACCTTGTTATAGGGAGGATGTATTGCTTATTGTGTTACACTGCATTCATTTTTGATGGATATAGCTCATAAACTGGCATCAAAGTGTTTATGTAAACACTAAAAATACATCAACAAACAATTTGAAAACTGAAAACCTCAGCTGTCAACACAGAACTGCTGAGAGACAGATCCTGCCACAGCAGATAGTGACGATGTGTAAAAGTGCTGAGCCAGTAGTCGTGCACATGTATGAGTGACGTCACTCATGTCGAGTTGATGTTGGATTAGTTTTGGCACAAGGTTATGTGTATATATAAAATATGAGCGCTACTTTGTGTTTTTTCTTCTAAATCCTTCATTTATCTTGCATTGACCACATATTTATTAACCCCTGAATGTTTTGCAACCAATCATTTTAATTGTTAGGTTTTTTTTTTTTTTTAACTATTATTTGTTCCAGGCAAAATATATTTAGCTTTAGCTCTGCGGCTAATGATTATTCTTATTGCTACAGCTCTGACTGCCTTTAAAAAAACAGCGCCAAAATCTGTTATTTCTTTTCTTTCTTTTTTATTCTCATTTTCAGTATTGCCAAATTTGTTCATATGGTCACATGTTTTTTTTGTTTTTTTTTAAGAACTTCTTCGTTTCATCTGATGCTCTTCTTGTGTCTAATGCTTAAGTGTGTTCATAGGTTTGTTTTAAAGGTGAACATATGGAAATGTGTGCATTACGTTTAGTCAATTCTGACATCATAAGAATAAATGTGTCTTTGCCTTATTTTCTATAACAATCAATTCCCCAGAGCTCTACGTGACTTCTTGAAATGTCCCATTTTGTGTGAACGACAACAATTATTCAGTTAACAAGAATAAAAAATGGGTGAAAACAGAAAATCGTCATATTGTTTGATAACTAACTGATGATTAACCAATTCTCAAAATAGTTTTCAATTAGTTTAATCAATAATTCGTATAATGGTAACAGCTCTTTATATGATGTTATTACGTTTGTAGAATAAGGTTAATCTCATACAAGTCGTTTAAAGTCACATACTGTATTTAGCCTTTTGAAAAGCTCTAGAGAGGAAACCATTGTATTATCCTTTATAACCTCGTATGTACTTCTATCCAATCAGACTCTCATGTAACACCTGGACCAATCAAAATCAGCCTGTGAGCCACATCCTGCCAGCCCCTAGTGACTGTAAACAGCAATGAGTCAGATATTTTCTCTGTTTCTCCCGAATAATTCATTAAAAAACAGTGTAATATGAAGTATTTCTGGACAGTGTCCCAGTTCATGCATCAAAAAGTGTGCAACTCATATTTAGTAGCTAATTGAATGCTAAATATGAGAACAGCATTGAGCCCTGATGGACAGAGACACCTTGGGATTAGAAAAGCAACAGAAAGCGATGGCTTACATATTCATTGTTTAAATGCTGGTCAATAATATTGTAGATATTGAAATGATTTAAATATGTTAATAAATTGTAAATAAAATCATTAAAATGCAAATAAGAACTGAAAACAAAATCAGTCAATTAATCGATTAGTTCATAAATCATAAATAGGGTCTGCTGCGATTTTGTTAATCTATTCATTGTTTAAGTAATTTGTTCACTATTTTCTGACATTGTGATGACCAACACAATAAATCAATTGGATCAATCAATAATATATTTGTAGCCCTACTGCAAAATACACAAATAGGACCTTTTACATTTCAGCCCAATGATACGTTATATTTTTCAGTGGATGAGCTGTATGTTTGTTATTTATTTAAAAATGTACAAAAGACGATCATTTAGACACTCCACTCACAGTCCATCTTAAAACATTCACTACTATACAGTGTGTCCAATCTGCTGACAAAACTACATTTTGGTAAACATAGGTCAAATCTGGGACTAAAATTACAATTTATTGTCATTCTCTATGATTGAATTATATATGTGTTTAATGTTTGAATTGAAAAACGGAGTTTGTCAGGATAACTGAACCTTTGTACTGATAAATGTCCTCAGTTTATAATATAAACCTAAAACTGAAATCAATGAATATTTTGGGATTATCAATCAATTAATTACTGGAGCAACAAAATCCTATGCTTGCATTGATCGCATGCTGAGCAATATGCATCAAATCCAATATGACAATATTTATTACCTCCAAAATTGATATACAACTCTAAAATATCACCACAATTGATAAATTGCTGGGCAATAAATAGTTATTGCCCAGCAATTTATCAATTGTGGTGAACTTTAACTGAGATCTACACTTTAAGCAGTTTTTGTTACTTCTGTATGATAAATTACAACAAGGAAATGGGTTGATACTACAGCGTCCTTGGTAAAAGCTACTCTACTTCAGATGAAACACACATCCTTAGGGAACATCGGCAGGAATAGCTTCAGAAGCGATTAGCAGATACAAATGGCTTCTGTCATGAGGCTGGCTGCTGTACGCCTTAATATCTTGTCTAACCAGACTCACCTTATACTCTAATATATACTTATACGATTATTAATGCACTGTGTCATTTGCGGTACCATATTGCTTCTGTGGATTATATGAAAACAGGTGAAGAAGGTGAGAAAATATCACTTTCTAGCAGTCTGCCTGATAAAAACCCATTACATTTGAGCAGATCTTTATCCGCCGGTGTGCTGATCAAAGAAGAGATGAAATGAGTGGGTGTGTGCAGTATAGGAGGAGATGCATTCCTACACATGGTCAACTCCAGGGAAGGCCGGAGCTGAATCAATTCTCACTCTCCTTCTCACACAATGCTGGCAAATCTACACTGTGCATAATTACAGTATCCACCCCCAAATACTCAGCTGAGACGGATTTACACTGCCCTAAACTGTTTGCTGGTGGGGGGTGAGATTTATGAGCAGGGGGGGGGGAATTTCTCAGCGAGTAGAATCGCTCAGAGAAATCAATGCCTTTCTGCAGTGCAGCACATCTCAGCAAAGAGTTAACAGATCCACTGTTGCAAGAGGACATTAAAGCCATGGTTCCCAGTGCAGCATCTTTGCTCTAAAAATAGAAGCATGCAGCAAAATGGACTGGTGCTATTTACAGCACTTCTGAAGTCCTGCAGCTAATTACATGCGTGTTATGCTCTGTTACAAGGAGCTGATGCAAGTGGTGATCTCACCCTGTAGGAGAGTGACACACTGCTGGATACTGAATCCTAGCATACCTGAGCAGACCCATAGTGACAGCATGTTGAGTGTGTGTGTGTGTGTGTGTGTGTGTGTGTGTGTGTGTGTGTGTGTGTGTGTGTGTGTGTGTGTGTGTGTGTCTCTCTCTAAGGAGGGCATGACAGATTGTGAACTTCAGAGTGACACCATTTCCTTTTCCACCTTCTTATTGAGCAGAACTTGTCCTTGCAGGTTGAATGTATTCAGCTGCACACTTCAAAGGACATTTTAGGGACACGGGCCTGCGTATGGCCCACTTCAGCCCAACCAATACACATTGCATCCCCTTAATGATTTATTGACCCTTTCATTACAAACGCCAAAGACCAAAACAGCGTCGACTGATATCAGTTTCTTTCCCGTTGAGGGATTATGTAATTAACCTGACTGCTGCTGGTGGTGAGATATCCATGATGGACAGTGTTCTTCAGAAAATCATTCATTAGAAAGTGTCCCACTGCAGAAATGCATGCGAAATCCCTCCCTAAAAACCCCCCGCATGTTCTCGTTTTTCTTACCATTCTGAGAAGACACGGTCTGCAGCAGCAGGGCTCCGATCATCGCCAGCGAGAAGGACATGACTGCAGCTCTTCGTTTGCCAGGTATCATCTTCGGAGACGGGAGAAAATGCCGGTAGGCGCGCGCTAAAGGTGACCTGAGCAGGATATGAGGATGTGGGCTGGATTCACCGAGGCTCCACACACACACTAAAGCTGGGTAATGGGAAGTGTTGCTAGGTAGACTAGCGGGAGCCTACGGCACTGCTGCTAGCTACCTGTGTGGCTCTCTGCTGTGTGTCAGCCCGATGCAGGGAGGGAACCACCTTTTTTTTACCCACCCGTCTCATCTGAAATCCCGCGAGATCTTGGAGGAACGCAGAGACGAGGGTTAGGTTAATGGCATCTTATAATTAGAGCAGAATTCAATTATATGATCACAATAGACAAGATGGACGCTTTTGTTTCTCAGGCAAGTTTTAAAAATACATATAAGATAAACCCAATCTTTAATGTTTCATGCAATGGTCAATTTTGAAAGTTTGAAGGTACTAGGTACGTTTTCATGCCCCATTTTACTTTAATTGTACTATTGGCTTGTATGGCTGATTTCCCAAAATATCCCAAAAACATGGCCATTTTTATTTTTGTTGTTGTTAAGTTATCATAAATGACCTCTTTAAATACTTTGACTCGATGTCATCTAAATGAAACAATACTTTTGAACCTGACTTTATCCAATGTTCCTGTATCCTAACAAGTAACATGTAATGTTCAGATTGTTACATAAATGTATACAAATGAGCACAGTTAAATTAGATTGTTTTGATGTAAATTCAGTGGGAAGGTTTCATGGCGATATCTATTAGTTTAGTTAATGTTCTACCTTTTTCACGTCAGTGGTTGCGTGTAGTGCTTAACAAATCGCTAAAGGCCTGAAACTGTGCCATGGGTCAAGAATACTCTCAGGCTGACTAAGCCCTGACCTCTATGGCACCAGGGACTTTAAGTAGACCTTTAATCCTATTTCTATTTGAACTAATGAAGGGTAGTGGCAGCCTCACGTCTTCAACACACTGTGTAACTTTGTTGCTATACTAAATTGAGCTTGAAAAGTGGCCTTATCATACTTTACTGGTATATTGTCTCTTAAATTGCTCATACTAGTCTAATAGTTTATAGTATGAACAAAAGTCTATAGAGCATTGCTCACCTGCAATATAAATCCAACAATGATTGTAGGAACATAGGTGGATTAGGGGATCAGGTTCCATTCCTATTGCTGTGGTCTAAGTTTTAGAAGTCAATAACATGTTTAAGCTCCAAAATAACTTAATTATACTATAGTTAGTGTGTTAGACTTTAACTTTAACCTCCATGTAGCCTAAATTTAGTATTTGTAAGCATGGATGCTTTTCAATGTCCAAATGCTTTTATCAGATTTTTGTCTTAAACTAATAGTTTTTTTTCCCTTGATACATTATCTTATAGTGATTTGGATAATACCATATAAGGTATCAGTTTGAGGACAGTTATGATGTGAAGTTAAAAAAGGTCACATAAGTTAACTCCAACAATTGAAAAAGGGGCGCAAAGTTAATTGTCATGCATGCATTTATTGTATCATATATATAAAAAACATCTGTTAAGTTACAAATATTGAGTTGTCTTTAATAACTGAAAAAATGTTTTCCAATATCTTATTTTGTTCTCATCAGCAATTGACATCAATCAATCAATGTTTATTTATATAAACGGGGGTCCTTAGACATTTTTAAAAATACTTAATTATCATATTCAGATAATGTTTGGATTAATATCCACACCCGGAAGCCATATACCGGCATACAAATTATAAACGAAGTGACATTGAAGTTAGGCTGATAGTTGTACTTTCTGTCAGTTTATATTTTAAAAAGGCATTATGATTATTTGTTCATACCACAACACTTGCACTTGGTGATAACATTTAGTGAGTCCGAAAACATATTTAATCAAAATGGAGTAGTAAAAGGTTGCACTCCAAATGCATTTTTAATCACTGCCGAACACTATCAAATGTATTTGTTTTATGAGATCATCATGATGTGCAATAAATCAGACCTGCAAACAATGACTGATCGCACTTGAATATTTGTTACAGCACACATTCAATTTTCATTCTAGGGTTTTTATAGGTAAAATACTGCTTGTAGATTGGGGTTATGATCCTCACGTTGACAGACTTTTATTCATTTAAAATGTTTAAATAAAAATGTTTTCTAATGTTTGGTTGGTTTTGACAAACAAACAAAACAAACATTTTCTTTTTTGCATCATTCAGGTTTAATTTTTCTCCCAACAAAAATAATTCTCCATAGTAACCTTACAATTCCAATGCAGCTGAAAGCTACAAGTAAAACAACTGCCAACAAAGCAGCCATAACATCAATAGAGTTGTAAACAAACCAGGACATTTTGTACGAGTGTGTTTGCAGATGACGGGCTCCTTTATGCCTGATGACGTATTCTATCCAAAACACTGCCAGGTCCAGTGGTTTCACAGGCTGATCTCTATGCAGCCTTGACAGCCTCTGCATGTTCTCCCTGTAAGAGGGATCGTAAATAGTTGTCTTTAGAGCATCTGCAAAGTTGTGTCTGTCAAGCTCGGCGATATCCATAATCACAGCTCCCCCCTTTGCTCTGATTCGGTTGAGGTTATCAGGCTGATCAAAGCTTAAGGGAAGTCCAACTACAGATACTCCGTGGTAAATCGCCTCCTGAACGCTGTTAGTGCCTCCGTGGGTCACAATGACTCTAGTTTTGGGATGTCCTAAAAGGTCATTCTGTGGCATCCAGTCAACCATTAATGTGTTGTTACCGAGATTAGCAGGCCTTTGTCCCATATACCGCCATATAACCTTTTGAGGCAGCTGGGCAAAGGCCGCAGCAATCTCCTCAGCGACATCTTGAGGAAGATTCGAGACCAAAGTTCCTAATGTCATCATAATGACCCCATGTTCTCCAGAGCTCTGGACAAAGTCCTCCAGGTCTACAGGGAGCGGTTTTGGGGGCTTGCACTGAAATCCAGCCATGTATACTACATTTGGCATTGTTGGACGTGGAAAATCAAAGACAAAATCATTCCTCATAAGCCATATGTCTGCATCCAGGAAAAATGTTGAGTAATCCACATCAGGGCCAAAATACTTCTCAACTAATGGTTTGTAATGAGGTTCTGTGACTTGTGACATGGTGTACATTCCAAAAATATAACTTAGCATATTCTTAATTCTTTGAGGGAAGCTCATCTTATCTGTTAGCTCTGTTGCAGTGAAAGGAACGTAAGACAGAGGTGAAGGGGCAATAAGGAAATGTGCTTCTCCTTGAATGGTCCATCTGACATTAAAAACAAGAGGAAGTTGAAGCCAACGCCCAAGCATTGTTCCGCCACCGATGCCGGGGTCTGTCAAAACCAAATCAAATTTGGTTTCCTTGAAGGACTGCATCAAGTTTTTATCCCCAAACATCTTATCAGCCATTTCACTCAACCCCTTATGAAGCTGAGAAAACTGATCCACAGACTGCCGCTCCATCCGAATACGATTCCAGGTTTTATACCATGAAGATGCATGCCTACCCTGAAACCGCATTTCAAGGTGTCGAACAAAAAAGGCTTCAAAGTGTTTTTGATCAAATCCACCAGTGCTGGGAACAGTGACACTGGTGTAGAGAGGAGAGTTTTCAGTGATGTACCAGCTATCGGACGCCCGAACCACAGTGATCTCGTGGCCTTTGGCATGCAGTTCCTCTACGAGTACTTTCATGTTTATCCAATGGCTTCCATCCAATGGGAACACCAGGATTTTACCCCCAGATGCACTGGATAGTTGAATCAACAGTAGAGCAAAAGTGAACAGAGATGAGTGAGGCAACATCCTACTGACGCGACGTCCCACTGAGACCTATAAAAGGGCACAAAAACCAGTCAATAGACATCTATACATCAATATAACATATTTTGTGTTGACATTCATACTAATATGAAAAGCAGAAGCAGAAAATAAGTAAATTACTAAAGTACTTAAGTACCCTAGATTACTAAAGTACTTCAGTAGCCTAAATTACTCAAGTACTATGGAACTTAAGTACAATTTCAAGGTCTGAAATTTGACTTTAAACTTATTCTCTGTTACATTTTAGAGGGAAATGTTTTCACTCTCAATTGTCTCAATTAAATACCAGTTTGAGGCATTAATACAAAATATTTTAAAACACAAGTTGATTATTTTATCAACTGTTTATCAGGTTCCATTCCTATTGCTGTGGTCTAGGTGTTACAGTCAATAACATGTGTAGGAGCCACATTTGAAGTAGTAGTTTCTGTGTTTATTACGGTACATGTTTTTGAGTCACTATAGGTGGTGGGCGTGTCAAAGGATTGGTGTGGTGACGTTTGCGGTTATATCCGTTTGCTTTTACCTGCACACTTTGGCCCAATCCCAAACCACTCCCTCGACCCTACCCCTCCGTGGCGGAGTGAACTCCGTCTGTAGCCACACTCGCAGCTCAACGAGGCTCCCTCCTGTCAGATGGAGGGAGTAAATACAGCGGCAAGCTTTGGGACAAACTCCCCTCTCTCTGGCAGAAACAGGAAATGCCGTAACTGTATGTAACAACTGTTTCAAATCAGCATCTCTTAGACAAAAAAGGTAAATTAAGAACTCAAATAAAACTCCAAACATCTTTCATTGTGTTACTTTTTTGTAAAGCTCTTTTAGTTTTAAACCTGATGTTTATAAGCTTCTTAGTTTTTGCAACAGTCTGTAAATATACACAACTTTATAATAAAATGCACACATTTACCTTTTTCTAGACTAAACACAGGTACTGTATGATCCTAAGTTAAAAAAATATGAGGTTATCATGAGGTTGTTAACATCGCAATTTATCAGTGGATGTTTGCTGGAACTACTTGTAAACAGCGTGTTTCCTGACGGACACACACAGCGTGACTCCGGTCAGGTAGAGACCAGTCTCAAGTCAGCACCGATGCAGACTCGCTGTTTGAGGGCTTGATAGCCCACTCCCCCTCCACACCTCTCCACACTCGTTGGTTTGGAACAGCACTTAGGCCCAATCCCAAACCGCCCCCTACACCCTACCCCTACACACTACCCCTCCGTTTGCGCGTTCGCGCGGAGGGTCCGCCACATTAAGTGCTGTTCCAAACCAACGAGTGTGGAGCGGTGTGGAGGGGGAGTGGGCTATTAAGCCCTCAAACAGCGAGTCTGCATCGGTGCTGACTTGAGACTGGTCTCTACCTGACCGGAGTCACGCTGTGTGTGTCCGTCAGGAAACACGCTGTTAAAAAGTAGTTCCAGCAAACATCCACTGATAAACTGCGATGTTAACAACCTCATGATAACCTCATATTTGTTTAACTTAGGATCGTACCTGTGGTTAGTCTAGAAAAGGTAAATGTGTGCATTTTATTATAAAGTTGTGTATATTTACAGACTGTTGCAAAAACTAAGAAGCTTATAAACATCAGGTTTAAAACTAAAAGAGCTTTACAAAAAAGTAACACAATTAAAGATGTTTGGAGTTTTATTTGAGTTATTAATTTACATTTTTTGTCTAAGAGATGCTGATTTGAAGCCGTTGTTACATACAGTTACGGCATTTCCTGTTTCTGCCGGAGAGAGGGGAGGCCGTCCCAAAGCTTGCCGCTGTATTTACTCCCTCCATCTGACAGGAGGGAGCCTCGTTGAGCTGCGAGTGTAGCTACAGACGGAGTTCACTCCGCCACGGAGGGGTAGGGTCGAGGGAGTGGTTTGGGATTGGGCCTCAATGTGGCGGACCCTCCGCGCGAACGTGCAAACGGAGGGGTAGTGTGTAGGGGTAGGGTGTAGGGCGTGGTTTGGGATTGGGCCTGAGTGATAGATGGAGGGGGAGTGAGCTGGAGAAGGACAATTTTTGTTGACCGCACGCACGCACGCATGCACACATGCACACATGCACGCATAAAAGAATATATGGATATGAACTATTGAACTTTTGCTTGAAAAATAAAAGGTCAAACGCATACTGTTGGAAAGACTGAGTTTTTGCGCGTCCACAGTGTTTTTCTCTTGTTTAGTCCCTCGCGGCACTTTGTTTGAAAGATTACTGCCGCAATATTAAGTCAACAAAAAGGACTTGTACCACAGCGTGGATCTACGGAAATCGAGGATATATACGGGGATTCCTTGGATCGATCTGGGACGCTGTGGAATTAAAAGGAAACATTGAAACGCCGTTAGCGCCGCTGTATTGGAGAGCGGCTTTGCCGCAGTTCCACTACACGGTCGGCCTCGGCCACGCTCGGTACGGCTCGGTACGGCTCGGCCGACTCACTTCATGCTGCGCTTCCATTACAGTTTAGGAACTGGGGTAGTTACTATAGTAACGCAGTGTAGGCGGAGCCGTGACGTCATCTTCAATGAGAACTCCAGAAAACACAACACAGCCGTTAGCTGTTAGCACTCAGAGCTCACAGCTCCTTATATATGTTCAGAAACTCGACAAAAGTTAAACAAGTACACACCACAGACTGCCTGTGTCATGGTGAATACAGTCGCTGCTTTATTTATGTCTGTATAGGCCGTTGTTGTGAGTGTGGACGGTCGGAGCATATACTGCGTTAGCTTAGCCAATCTCCATCTAGAAAAACACGAATTTTAAAAGGTTTTTCGCCTGCCGTCTGTCTGCAGACTTGACAAAGCATTAATTCATGGTTTTTACTAACCGGTATCAGTATGTTGTTACTTCGGCATCATTTTGAAACGTGTATTACAATTAAATCACGGTCAAATATGTCCATCTTGTTGTAGCCCCCTTGCCAGCGCTCCTCTCTCTAGTTTAGCATACTCAGCCCGACTCAGCCCTGTTTGTTGGCCCCGATAGAACCACAATTTTGTCGGGCTAGAAAAGAGGTGAAAAAGTGGCGCCGGGCCGGGCCGGGCCGTAACTAGGCCTAGTGGAAGCGCAACCAAAAACGGGTACGGCACGACACGGCACGCTTAAAGCGAGCTCCGCGCTGTAGTGGAACTGCGCCATAACTTCAGCGTGCTGCCGCGGGAGGATAAAGACTGACGGACAATCCACACAGCAAGGAGCGAGCGGTATGTAACTTCTTCATTCATGCTGTGTAAATGTTTGTTTGAACACAGTGTGAATAAGTTACTGCTGCGTGTCCATTGGGGACTGACTTTTGCTTGCGTGTGGTGGTTTGTGCCGCTAGAGGTTGTCTATTGTCGGCAGCAGTGATTTACTGAGCGTTTGGCTGTGTGGATTGGAGCATTTGTTGTTCATTCATTAAAACATTAAAGGGATATGTCAATAAGTGGATCAAATTCAGATGTCAATGTGGCAAAAATGGATGAACAGAAGAGAGAGTCGATACTCACTGCCAAGGCTTTGGCAAATCAAATGGAAAAGCTCCAAAAGGAACGTCAATCAAAGGTTCACAAAATGAAAAGTGTGATTAAAACAATGAAGGATCTCATGCAAAGGGATGACAACGCCTCACAAATACAAACTCAACTTGAGCATTTAATTCAACTGGTTAAAGAAACCACCCTGTTACACAAGTCTGTAATTCCTCTTCTTCCTGCAGACGAACAGGAAAAACAAAATGTATGGTTTGCCAAGACACTGAAATACAATAATGGATTTATCGACGATGTCAAGCAATGGCTTTCTGAAACTGGGAGACAACCGAGCATCACCATCGCACATGTTCCCTCAATTGAGATATCTGATGAACACCAACGAAGTATGTCTCATGTTTCAAAACACTCTGGGAGAAATGTTGAAACTTCTGAAGCACAAGATGAAATAAAACCAAGCGACAGTGTTTCAAACATAGGAAGCATTGGGTCTCGCAAGCGGAGCTCTGCTGGAACCAGGTCCAGTGTTTCAACTACATCATCATGCACCAAAGCTGAGGCTGACATGGCCGCTCTCTTGGCACGACAAAAGTTATTAAAAGACAAACATGCATTGGATGAACAAGAGGAAGAGCTCAGGAAAAAGAAGGAACAGCTCAGGAAAAAGAGGGAGCAACTGGAAATGGAAGTGGAAATAGCTGCATCAAGGGCTAAAATGAATGTGCTAAGACGCTCTGGAAGGTCTCGTGCTGCAAGTAACACATCTGTCCCATGCATTCTTATTTGGAAAGGGGACGAAAGGAAGCCATACTCAGTGCTGGAGCAAAAACATTTGTGCCTGACACAAACAGGCCTACAGGTGGTCAGTCTGACGTACAGTTTTTGCAGAGAACATGAAGCAGAATATGGACATCTGCAACATCAAGCCACAAGAAGCTCAGAGGCCAATATACATCAAAGTTCATCACAATCACATCCACAGTTACAGCAACAAAGCAATCACCCAGCAGCACCGGCACCAAGCAGCAGTGCTCAGAATCCTTTAATTAATGTCTTGGAAAGACAAAATGAAATAACATCCATGTTGGTTCAGCAACAGTCTCTTTCTTTTCTGCCTAAAAAAGAAATTCAGATTTTTGATGGCTCTCCGTTTCAATATCAAGCATTCATAAGAGCTTTTGAGCACAGCATTGAGGAGAAGACTCGCAACCCTAAAGACTGCCTGTATTTTCTCGAACAGTACACCAGGGGGCAGCCTTTGGAGCTTGTCAGAAGCTGTCAGCATATGGCCCATGACAGAGGATATGCCAAAGCAAAGGCTTTGCTACAGGAGCATTTTGGTAATGCACAGAAAATTGTTTCGGCCTACATGGAAAAGGCTCTTTCATGGCAGCCAATAAAAGTAGAAGATGTGCGAGCTCTGCAAGCTTACGGTCTCTTTCTGAGAGGATGCTGCAACGTCGTGGAAGAGTTTGAATACATGTGTGAGTTGAACATGCCTAGCAATATGCTAGCCATCATAAAAAAGTTGC